AAGAAATGGGATTAGTTCTTCTTTAAATGTCTGGTAGAATTCAGCGGTGAATCCATCTGGTCCTGGGCTTTTCTTTGTTGGGAGGGCCTTTATTACTGTTTCAATTTCTGTTTCAGTTATGGGTCTATTTAGGTTTTCGATGTCTTCATGGTTCAATTTTGGTAGATTGCATGTGTCCAGGAATCTATCCATTTCTGATAGGTTTTCCTGTTTGCTGGCATACAGGTCCTTGTAGTAATTTCTGATGATTCTTTTTATTTCTGTGGTGTCTGTTGTTACGTTTCCTTTTTCATCTCTGATTTTATTGATTTGGGTCTTTTCTCTTCTTTTTTTAGTTAGTTGGGCCAATGGGGTGTCAATTTTGTTTATTTTTTCAAAAAACCAGCTTCTCGCTTGGCTGATTTTTTGTAATGTTTTTTTGGATTCAATCCTGTTAATTTCTTCTCTGGTTTTAATTATTTCTCTTCTCCTACTAGATTTGGGTTTGGTTTGCTGCAGTTTTTCTAGGTCCTTGAGGTGCGCTGAAAGCTCATTTATTTGGTACCTTTCCAATTTCTTGATATAGGCACCTATTGCTATAAATTTGCCTCTCAATACTGCTTTTGCTGTATCCCATAAGTTTTGATATGTTGTGTTGTTGTCTTCATTTACTTCCAGAAAGTTTTTGATTTCTCTTTTGATTTCTTGAATGACCCAGTGTTCATTCAGGAGCATGTTGTTCAGTCTCCATGTGTTTGCATACTTTCTGGGGTTTCCTGAGTTGCTAATTTCCAGCTTCATCCCGCTGTGGTCTGAGAAGCTGCATGGTATGATTCTAATTCTTTTAAATTTGCTGAGACTTGCTTTATGGCCTAGTATGTGATCAATCCTAGAGAAGGTTCCATGCGCTGCTGAGAAGAATGTGAAGTCTGTAGATGTAGGGTTGAAAGTTCTGTAGATATCTGTTAGATCCATTTGTCTCCCTAGGCTCTTGTCATGAGTTGCCAAGGCTATGGAAGCCTTTTGAGTTCGCTGACTTCGATCTTATTCAGACAGGATCTTAGTCAAAGTGGAAGTTCTCTCCTCCCTTCAGAGAAAGGTACCTCCTTCTTTGATGGCCCCTTTCTCTCCACTGGGATCTCACTCGCAGAGATCTTTTATTTAGGTCTTCTTTTTTTTTTTTTTTCCCAGAGTGTCTTGGCTTTCCATGCCTAAAATACTCTCATGGGCTCTTCAGCCAGATCCAAATGCCTTAAGGGCTGATTCTGAGGCCAGTGTGCTGTTTAGGACATCTGTCATTCTATGAGTCTGCTGTGTATCCCACTTCCCATGTTGGATCGTACTCTCCCTTTTTGCTTCTAACAGTTAGTATTAGCAGACACTAGTCTTGTTTGTGTGATCCCTTTGACTCTTAGACCTATCAGTGTGATCAATTGTGAACTGAAATTGATCACTTTGACTAGTGATATGGCATTGGTACATGCAACCTTGAAGGGATTGTATTGGAATCCCCTGGCACATTTCTAACTCCACCATTTGGGGCAAGTCCGATTGAGCATGTCCCAAATTGTACATGTCCTCCCTCTCTTATTCCCACTCTTATATTTAACAGGGATCACTTTTCAGTTAAAAATTAAACACCTAAGAATAATTGTGTGTTAATTACAGAGTTCAACCAATAGTATTAAGTAGAACAAAAAAAAATACTAAAATGAATAAAGTATTACATTGTACATCAATAGTCAGGACAAAAGCTGATCAAGTCACTGTTTCTCATAGTGTCCATTTCACTTCAACAGGTTTCCTCTTTGGTGCTCAGTTAGTTGTCACCGATCAGGGAGAACATATGATATTTGTCCCTTTGGGACTGGCTTAATTCACTTAGCATCATATTTTCCAGATTCCTCCATCTTGTTGCAAATGACCAGGTTTCATTGTTTTTGACTGCTGTATAGTATTCTATAGAGTACATGTCCCATAATTTCTTTATCCAGTCTACTGTAAACAACCATTCTTACTGAACGTGGTGAAGGAGACTTTTATTGTAACTTTGAATGCTACATAAGCATCTCTGGGTCTGACATCATTTTGTATTTCTTTTCTTTTTTTTTTTTTGACAGGCAGAGTGGACAGTGAGAGAGAGAGACAGAGAGAAAGGTCTTCCTTATGCCGCTGGTTCACCCTCCAATGGCTGCCACGCGCTGATCCGATGGCAGGAGCCAGGTACTTATCCTGGTCGCCCATGGGGTGCAGGGCCCAAGCACTTGGGCCATCCTCCACTGCACTCCCTGGCCACAGCAGAGAGCTGGCCTGGAAGAGGGGCAACCGGGACAGAATCTGGTGCCCCGATCGGGACTAGAACCCGGTGTGCCGGCACTGCAAGGCGGAGGATTAGCCTAGTGAGCTGTGGCGCTGGCTGGATTTTGTATTTCAAAAATACCTCTTTTTGCTTATTTTCAAAATATTACCAAGTTTATCAGAAGTCATAGGAGCTGATTTTTTCAGTTCAGTTCTGTGGCAATGAGTGTGGTAGGGGTGACAGCCGATCATTGCAGGAATTTCCAAAGAGAGAAGTTGTCTTTCTGTACATCAAAGAAGCTTCTTTGAATTCTGCAAAAAGATCTATGTCACCTCACCCAGTTTCCACTGGTTTTGGTACTTGGATGTTTGTGTTAGTATCTTCACCTGGAATACTGTCTAGTTTTGGAAGAAATTGCCTGCTGTTATTTGGGTCTTCTTGTTTTCCAGGTTCTCAAGGCCAGTGAGGTGGCTCCCTCTGCCATGTTCCCACTGCCATGGCTTGTGACCCTGTTGTGTGAGCTCACATGCCAGCTCCCTTGCCTCTTATCTTTCCCCAGTCCATGGCCCCAGATTCTCTCTTATTAGCAGCCCAAAAGTCTAGTAGAAACAAAGCAAAGCACTTCTCCAGAGAAGAATGATAATTGATCAGACAGTATTTGAAAAAATACTTAACTTTAATACTCACATAAGAAACTACTGTTAGGTAATTTTTTGCTTTTCAGATGGACAAAAATGAAGATTAACAAAACAGTTGGTGACAGTGTAGAGAAACAGGCACTCTCATGTGTTATGGTTTTGATAGGTAATTGAGGTACTTTTACAATATGCATGAAAATGAAAATTGTGACTACTCTGTGGCCTTAGTAGACCCATTTAAAGGAATTTATACTTAAGTAATATCCTACTAATGTAAAAATATATGGCCCAAAAGATGTTTATTGCAATGATGTTTATAATATTGAAAATGTTAGTATATTCATAAATACTTATTTGCTGCCTATTTTATGCCCAGTCCAGTTCTAATTACTGAGGATTAATTTGTGCACCAGACAGAATGGGCTTCTTTTCTCAAGGAGCTTAACAGTTTTTGGATGGTGGAGGGAAACCAAGAGTAAGCAACTAGACTTATCAACGTGATTTGAGTCTCTGGTAGATGTCATGGAGGAAATCATCGTGTTGATGAGATAGTAATGTGGCAAGAAAATAGGGATATTTGAAGTACAGGCTTAGGAGCAGCCTCTGTGAGTAACTAACATTTTAGCCGAGACTTGAATGGTCATAAAAACTGGGCAGGTGAAGAACTGGGAACAAAAGACTGAGGTGATCATGACCTTATTGTTCAAGAAGCAAGGGAAGAGAGAGAGGAAATTATATTAGAGGTAGGTGCCAGATCTTGATGGAGAGCTTTAAACAGGAGAGTGTTTTGGGCCGGCGCCACGGCTCACTAGGCCAATCCTCCGCCTTGCGGTGCCGGCACACCGGGTTCTAGTCCCGGTCGGGGCACCAGATTCTGTCCCGGTTGCCCCTCTTCCAGGCCAGCTCTCTGCTGTTGCCAGGGAGTGCAGTGGAGGATGGCCCAAGTGCTTGGGCCCTGCACCCCATGGGCGACCAGGATAAGTACCTGGCTCCTGCCATCGGATCAGCGCGGTGCACCGGCCGCAGCACACCGGCCGCGGCAGCCATTGGAGGGTGAACCAGCGGCATAAGGAAGACCTTTCTCTCTGTCTCTTTCTCTCACTATCCACTCTGCCTGTCAAAAAAAAAAAAAAGAGTGTTTTGATCTGCTGCATCTCATGAAGATCACACTGGCCATGTGGAGCATGGAGTGGAAGCAAGAAACCAAGCCCCATGTCCATCATTGAGAAGTAGTTAAATACATTTGAGTTCGTATGGTTGAATATTATATGGCCACCAAAAAATGATTCGTTTACTTATGGAGGTGGAAAAATACCATTGCTATATGATAATAAAAAACAAAGGGCTGGCGTTGTGGTATAGTGGGTATAGTGCTGCCTGTGATGCTGGCATCTTCCATGGGCACCAGTTTGTGTCCCAGCTGCCACTTTCAATCCAGTTCCCTGCTAATGGCCTGGCTAAAGCAGAGGAAGATTACCTAAGTGTTCGGAACTCTGCCACCCATGTGGGAAAATCCAGATGAAGCTCCTGCCACCTGGCTTCGACCTGTTGGGGCCATCTGGGGAGTGAACCAACAGAAGGTTTTTCTTTGTCTCTCCCTCTCTCTCTCTCTTTCTGTAACTTTGACTTTCAAAATAAAAAATCTTAAAAACAAAAAAATTATAGACTACTATATGTGGTATAATCGCATCCAAAAATATATGAATATATTTGAAGGTATATATTGGGATTTCAGGTGAGTTTTTTTTCTTCTTCCTATTTCTATATATTGTTTCTATCTGTGCCATGACTATTTAATTTTTGTGAAATTATAAATTTTTGTTACACTATCTATCCTGAAAGCATTCACCATATGCAAAAAGCTCATAATTGAGAATTTTAAGTCTGTATCCAAAAAGTATTCTAAAATTGACTTTCCATCTAATTTTACTGTTCCTCTGCCTGTTCCTGCTTGTGTATTGGATGGTTGATGGTTTAGTCACAGTGTTTTTTATATTACCTTCTTTTGACATTCAGGTATAATTAAAATGCTCATTTGGCATATACATTTAAGAAAAATTAATGTTTTCTACTTTCTTAAATAGAATGAAGAGTTGAGTATCTTATATCCAGCTGCCATTGTGACTATTGATGGGTTTAGCCTTTTCCAGTCTCTTCGTGCTTGTAGAAATCAGGTAGCAAAAGGTAATCTTTTGGCAAGAAATATTTAACTTCTGATAATGTTTGTTTTATTTATAGTTGTGTCTTCTAAATAAAAAGCCTTCCAACTAGAGTTAAGGAAAATAGTCTGCTGCTATAGATGTCAGAGTGCTCTATGGAAACTCTAGATTGGTGCAAAGGTACAAGTGTGTGCAGGGGGAATTTTTAGTAGGCAGGACCCATAGGGAGTCAGCATCAGCTCCTTTTTGATAATATGGAACACTTCTGAATAGAGAAAAGCATTTCTGGAAATGCTGTTGCTGTTAACACATTTCTATCATGTCTAACCCCAGTTGCCTAGATTCAACACTTGGTGTATGTGTGCTCTGCCAAGTATGTCAGGTTTTTAGTTTTTCACTGAGTTAAACTCCAGGTGCTGTACCCAAGGTTTTCCCCAGTTTGTCAGGAAGAGAAATTGCCTATTCAGTAATCACTTGCAATTTGATTTCAGCTTGATTTTTAGTAGTCTTCTAGTTTTTTTTTTTTTAATAATCTGAGTGTTTTAAATATCTTTTGACAATTTACTCTTTTCAATGTACTTTTATGAGTATTGTTGACATTTAAATACGTTTCACTTTATGCCTTGTTTCCATTACTTTGACTCATTAATTGAAATTTTAAATGAAGGATTTTTATATTTTTAATTATTTTTTGTTAAACTTCATTTTTCCATTATAATTTAGTTTGGATTATCTAATTTTTATCTTTGACAGCTACAGCATCAGGCAATGAACACATACAGCCACCACCCTTAGCTTATAAGAAATGGGGTCTACAAGATATTGACACTATTATTGATCATGCAAGTATTGGTAAGTCTTACTAGTTCACATTTTTTGTAATTACTGCTTATACATTTTGATCAAAGTATCTGATTTATTAGAAATTATCATTTTTAAAAGATTTATTTATTTGAAAGGCAGAGTTACAGACAGAGGGAGAGATAGAAGTCTTCCTTCTGCTGGTTCATTTCCCAAATGGCTGCCACAGGCAGAGGTGAGTCGACTCGAAGCGAAGAGCCAGAAACTTCTTCCAGGTCTCCCCTGTGGGTGCAGAAGCCCAAGCACTTGGGCCATCTTCTACTGCTTTCCCAGGCCATCAGCAGGTAGCTGGATTGGAAGTGGAGCAGCTGGGACTCAAACAGGTGCTCATATGGGATGCCGTCACTGCAGGCAGAGACTTAACCTACTATGCCACAGCACCAGCCCCCCAGCATTTATTCTTATGTGAAGAAATACGTTGCCCTTAAAGAGACATATAAAAGTTAGTTCAGAATCAGATCATCGTAGTCTTTAAGAAATAGTAGTCACGTTCCCTTGGACTTACCCCTAAGGGTAAAAACTTGCCACGGGACTCCAAATCCCATTAAGTTGGCAGGTACCAATGCCATCTTACTAGTTAAAGTGATCATTTTAAGTTCAAAACTGATCATAAAGATAGGATTAAGTGTCAAAGGGATCACATAAATAAGATCAAGTGTCTACTAATAATAATTGATAGAATTAAAAAGGAGAGAACAATCCAACGTGGGAAGCAGGCCACACAGCAGACTCATAGAATGACAAATGCCCTAAATAGCACTCTGGCCTCAGAATCAGCCCTTAAGGCATTTGGATCTGGCTAAAAAGTCCATAAGAGCATTTCAGGCATAGAAATCCAATACACTGTGGCAAAAAAATGACCTAAATGAAAGGTCTCTGTGAGTGAGATCCTGGTGGAAAGAACAAGCCATCAAAGAAGGAGGTACCTTTCTCTGAAGGAAGGAGAGAACTTCCACTTTGATTATGGCCCTGTCTAAATAATGTTGGAGTTTGTGGACTCAAGAGGCTTCCATCCTTGGCAGCTCATTACAAGAGCCTGTGCGATCACTGACATCATAAATAAGAGTGTCAATTATTATATCAACAACAGGAGTCACTGTGCACTTGCTCCCCATGTAGGACCTCTGTCCTTAATGAGTTGTACTATGAGAATTAATGGTAAAACTAGTCTTTAAACAGTACTTTATACTTTGTGTGTCTGTGTGGGTGCGAACTATTAAAATCTTTACTTAGTATAGAGTTGATCTTCTGTATATAAAGAAAATTAAAAATGAATCTTAATGAAGAATGGAATGGGAAAGGGAGTAGGAGGTGGGATGGTTTGGGAGTAGGATGGCAACTATGAGAGGAAGAACTGCTATAATCAATAGTTGTATTTATGAAATTTATATTAAATAAAAGCTTTCTATGAAAAATAAATAGTCATTCTAATAAAGATTTCACATCAGCAATAGCAAGATTATACAGTTTTAAGACAGTTTCTATTTGATTTTAATTTTTTTCAGATTTGGGCCATATAGAAACCATATAAATCAGTCTTTTTAAAATGTAACCTTTAAGTTACAGTATAAATAAAAGCTGATTCCCTCTTGTAGCCACTTTTTGAGAGCTTACTATGTTAGGTATTGAGAATACATAGATGAAAAGGCATGATCTCTGCTCTCTGGATATGTGAGTTTTAATCTCACAATTGCTGGAGTATACAAGTGGACCAACTGTAGCAGGAGCAGAGGAGAAAGCCCCTAGCATTAAGAGCATCAGGGAAGAAGCTTGATTTTAATCTGAGGTTGAGAAAATAAGTAGGAGTTGACCCAGAGAACAAGACAGAGGCGGCTTTTTAGCGAATATGTACATAGGTGTCAGGGTAAAAGTGCATGGTGTGCTGAAGAAACAGTGAGTTCCAGGGATAACTGGCAAGAATGAAGCCCAGTATGTGGAGAGGAGTCAGATTTTGAAAGACGTAGTATAATATGTAGAGGGATATCTTATCTAAGTATTTTCATTTAGAGCTTTCTCTTAGCCATATTGAGAACCATTGACGAATTCTGAGCAAGAGAAAACCATCTTCACATTTGCTATTGTGGTTGCAGTTTAGAGTCTAGGATGGAGGAGGCAAGTCTAGAAACTGGGGCTAGTAAGAAAGCTGTTATAATTTCAGTAAGAAGTAATGAGCTTCTGAGTTAAGATAATAAAATGAGGGTGGAAAAGAAAATGTTATTTAAAAATACATTTTTTGTTTGACAATATAGTAAATGCTTGTTAAGAAATTCAAATAGTATATTTATATACATATATATACACACGCACAAACACACATGCCCATATGTATATGTATAATACATAACGAAGAAAAGAAAAAGATCCCTTAATTTATAGTGTCCAGAGAGACTCACTATTCGTGTTTTGGTAACCTTACAGACTGGGGTATATGCATGTGTGTGTGTAGTTCATATGTAATATGCATTTGGTCATATAAAGAGATAATATTTTCATAAATAGGATTGTATAATATGAAATATATAACAGCCTTTTCTTAATATATCACAAGCAGCCCTTCCTATCAATTTTGCTAAAAATACATTTTATGCATCAGAATCCTAATAGAAGACAGGTGGCATACTTGAGAGGACAATTGAAGGGAGGTCTACTTACAGAGAGACTATGTAAATAAAGATTTGGTATAGGAGAAAACCACAGGGAATAGTATAGTATGCCAGGCTTTCTTAGCAGCCAAACTGTTAACCATTCTCTTAGGCCTTGAGAGATGAGGGCAGGGAGCAGTTCCAGCACTCGGGGATAATGAATAGAGAGAGCATCCTGAAGAGCAGGATGACGTGTCCAAGGGTCACAGCATCTTTTTAGGGAGAGAGCCAGGGAAATTGATACCCTGGTTTTGTCCTTTCTCTCTTTGATCTCCTAATAGGGCTTTCCATTGTCTGATCCCGATTAGAAGTCAGCATGGTCTGTGTCCTTTGGCCTCTGAAAGAGAGCAGTGAGTAAAAGAAGGAGTGTGACTCTAGATGGGTTAATGGAAGGTATCTGACACACTAGTCATGCTTTTCTGTTCACTGGATCATTCTTGCGTGGAATACTCCTGTAATACCTTAATATTCAACATTTCAACATGTCTTTTCTTTATTGCTAACATAAAAATGCCACAAAATAAGGCCGGCATGGTGGCAGAGCCAGTTAAGCCACCACCTCTGATGCCGGCATCCCATGTGAGTCCTGGCTGCTCCTCCTCTGATCCAGCTCCCTGCTAATGTGCCTGGGCAAGCAGCAGAAGATGGCCCAAGTACTTGGGCCCCTGCCACCCATGTGGGAGATCGAGGCGCCTGACTTCAGCCTGACTCTGCCCTGGCTGTTGTGGCATTTGGGGAGTGAACCAGAGGATGGAAGATTTATTTCTGTCTCTCCCCCCACTCTCTAACTTTGCCTTTCAAATAAATAAATAAATCTTTAAAAAACAAACAAACAAACAAAAACCCACAAAGCTCCAAAGTGTTGAGTTCAGTTCAGGGAGTTTCCCTGATCTGGTAATTAAACTTTGGAACATTGAAACTGGCTAGGGAAAATCATCGGATAGAAAATGTTATTCTATTCATATATCCCCAGCCTACAAGTGAAAAAACAAAATGTGCAGTAAACTTAATGTACGTACATCTTTATGTAAAATCTGATGAATTCATTTAACAAGTAAGTGAATACCTGTGATGTCCTATGTACTAATGTTAGTGCTAGAAATTCGAGACAGAGAAACCCTGCCCTCAAAAAGGTTTAATTTGGTCAAGGGAAGAAAAATAATAAAACATAGTGAATAAATGTGGTAATGTCAAAATGTTAGTCAACATCATGAGGAAAATAAGCCGAAAATTATGATAAACAGTAAAGGAAGAAGGTACTGTAGACAGAATAGTGAGGAGAGGCCTCTCCAGGGAAGTGACTAAGACTTGAAGGGTTTAGGCCGGCGCCGGCACACCAGGTTCTAGTCCCGGTCGGGGCGCCGGATTCTGTCCCAGTTGCCCCTCTTCCAGGCCAGCTCTCTGCTGTGGCCAGGGAGTGCAGTGGAGGATGGCCCAGGTGCTTGGGCCCTGCACCCCATGGGAGACCAGGAGAAGTGCCTGGCTCCTGCCATTGGATCAGCACGGTGCGCCAGCCGCAGCGTGCCGGCCACAGCGGCCATTAGAGGGTGAACCAACGGCAAAGGAAGACCTTTCTCTCTGTCTCTCTCTCTCACTGTCCACTCTGCCTGTCAAAAAAAAAAAAAAAAAAAAAAAAAGACTTGAAGGGTGAGAGGGAGTCAGCTGCAGGAGGACCTGTAAGAAGAGCATTCTAGGCAGAGGAAGTGGCAAGACTGTGGGCCTAGGGTCCTTTAAGACCTCAGAGTGTTCAAGAAACAGAAAAAAGATCATGTGATTTTAAAGAATGAAGGCAGATGAGAAAAAGTAAAAGATGTCCATTGTGGGGGGCCAGCACTGTGGCATAGTAGGTTAAACCTACGCCTGCGTCACCAGCATCCCATATGGGTGCCAGATCATATCCTGGCTGCTCCACTTCCCATACAGCTCTCTGCTAATGGCCTGGAAAACAGTAGAAGATAACCCAAGTGCTGGACCCCTGCAGTCATATGGGAGACCCAGAGGAAGCTCCTGGCTCCTGGCTTCAGATTAGCTCAGCTCCGGCCATTGCAGCTATTTGGGGAGTGAACCAGAGTGTGGAAGACCTTTCTGTTTCTCCCTTTCTGTCTGTAACTCTGCCTCAAATAGATAAATAAAATTTATATATATATATATGTGTGTGTGTATGTGTGTGTGTGTGTATATATATATATATATATATATATCCATTGTGATCAGTTACATAGGGATAAAGAAATTGGGTCTCCTAAATATTCTAAATGCATTGGATGTTAACGGATTCTAAATGCAGGTTTACATTTAAAGATATCTCCTCTGTTGCTAATTAGAGAGCGGTTTATAGTGGAAAGCTAGGAGACTAATTAAGAGTATGTTGTGGGGCCGGCGCCTTGGTGTACTAGGTTAATCCTCTGCCTGCGGTGCCGGCATCCCATATGGGTACCGGTTCTAGTCCCAGCTGCTCCTCTTCCTATCCAGCTCTCTGACGTGGCCTGGGAAAGCAGTAGAAGATGGCCTAAGGCTTGGGCCCCTGCACCCACATGGGAGACCAGGAGGAAGCTCCTGGCTCCTGGCTTTGGATCAGTGCAGCTCCGGCCATTGTGGCCATTTGGGGAGTGAACCAATGGTAGGAAGACCTTTCTATCTCTCTCTCTCTCTCTCACTGTAACTCTATCTCTCAAATAAATAAATAAAATCTTTAAAAAAAAAGAAATAGTCTTTGTAGTGCAAAATTATGTGAAACAACCTAAATGTCCTTCAGTATGTTGAATCAATTGTGATATATCCACAGAATAGAATATTAAGAGTGACTGAAAAGAATAGGGGCCGGTGCTGTGGCATAGTGGGTAAAACTGCTGCCTGCAGTACCAGCATCCTGTATGGGTGCCAATTCGAGTCCTGGCTGTTCTGCTTCTGATCCAGCTCTTTGCTATAGTCTGGGAAAGCAGTAAAAGATGGCCCAAGTCCCTGGGCCCCTGCTCCCTCGGGGCGACCTGGAAGAAGCTCCTGGTTCTTGGTTCCTGGTTCCTGGTTCCTGGTTCCTGGTTCCTGGTTCCTGGCTTTGGATCGGTGCAGCTCTGGCCTTTGCAGCCAGTTGGGGAGTGAACCAGTGGATGGAAGACCTCTCTCTCTCTCTCTCTCTCTCTCTGCCTCTCCTTCTCTCTCTGTGTGGCTCTGACTTTCAAATAAATAAATAAATCTCTCTTTTTTTAAGATTTTATTTATTTATTTGAGAGAGAGAGAGTTAGACACAAAGCGAGAGACAAAGGGAAAGGTCTTCCATCTGCTGGTTCACTCCCCAAATGACCTACAATGACAGTATCATTTCACTGCATTCAAATGATGTGGTTTTTTTTTTATCTTTTTATCATTAGGTATTATGACTCTGTCCCCCTTTGATCAAATGAAGACTGCCTCCAATATTGGTGGATTTAATGCAGCAATTAAAAACAGTCCACCTGCCATGTCTCAGTACATCACTGTAGGGTCCAATCCATTTACGGGCTTCTTCTATGCTTTAGAGGTATGAGTTTCATCAGTGACTGTGATTATGAGCCAGGCCACTCTTTTCAGCTTGTCTATAAATTATATATAGTTCCTTAGCCTGAAATGAAGAAGTTTACATTTCTCAACTAGGTTTCTTCTAAATTCTTTAGATTAAGTAAAACAAACAAACCTCTTGTTTCTGAAGCCTCAAATTGTCTAACTACTGTTGCAGTAGTCAGAAGTTCAGTGTTAATGCTGTCAGCTCATCAGGGATATGAGTAAATGAGCATTTTTAAAGGCTGAAAAAGCTGCCAACTATAGTTGATGTAAGTGGTGAAAATTGCTTCCTTAAATAGGGATAGGTTAGGTGTTAAATTTGGCAGCTCTGATGTCTCACAAAAAACCTCAAAATTGTCCAAACTATCTAAATTTATTTAAAAGCAGGGCAGGCAGGGTGGGGGATGTGCAGCAGGGGTTGGAGAGAGGACCAGTTATGAGTAGATGAGAAATCCTTAGCCCAGCTACAACAATGCTGTCTTACTGCCCTGGTTTAGGGTTTATTTTAATTAAGTTACAATTAAAATAAGGAAACCGTGAAGGTAAAATAGACTACTAGTGATTTTATAACTATCATTAAAACTTTTTCTTTTATTGCACTTAAAATGAAGTTTTAGTGTGCCCTCTGAAAGAAGCTGAAATACTACTAGTTCAACCTTTACAACTTTTCAAGACATTTTAATGTTGGCATTGTTTATTGTTTCTTTGTAAGCTATTAATTCTTCTCTTTCAAATGCTCTGCTTTTCAGGGAAGCACACAACCATTATTATCTCATGTTGCACTAGCAGTTGCAAGTAAACTCACTTCTGCTTTATTTAATGCTGCCAGGTAATTACATAAAAATTAAATTTAAAAGTCTCTAATTTGTATCTAGCTTAGTTTTAACTTATATTTTGAGAGTCTGCACTTCACACTCTGGAAGCTCTTCTACTTTTGTTGTAAATGTCCTTTCTTTTCAGTGGTTGGCTTGGTTGGAAAAGTAAGCATGAAGAAGAAGCTGTCCAGAAGCAAAAGCCGAAGGTTGAACCAGCTACTCCATTAGCTGTAAGGCAAGTCTGTTGTGCTTCTCAAATTTTAGTGCTTTGAAATTCATGGTCTTTCAGTGTGCTTATTAGTTAACTTGCTGATCTCATGAGGTTGTGGAACTTTTGATGGTCATTAATGTGGGATTTTTACCCAATTGGAAGGTAAACTCCATGAGATGAAGATTTTTTTAAAAAGATTATATTTATTTATTTTGAAAATCAGAGTTACAGAGAGAGGGAGAGACAAAGAGATCTTCCATCCACTGGTTCATTCTCAAATGGCTACATCAGCTAGCCCTGGGCCAAGCCAAAGGCAGGAGCTTCATCCAGTCTCCCAAAGGGTAGTAGGAGCCCAAACACTTGGGCTAGCTTCTGCTGCTTTCTCCAGGCTATTAGCAGGAAGCTGGATTGGAAATGGAGCAGCCAAGACACAAACTAGCACCCTTATGGGATGCCAACATCATAGGCATTGGTTTTACCCACTATGCCACAGTACCAGCCCCCTTGATTTTGTTTTTAAAACATTTTACAAAGCACCAAATACAAAATACCACCATGAAAGACAATATAGCCCCTCCCCTTTAGATGTTCTTTGCCTAAAGGGACCCAACTAATTAACTGCTATTAAAATTTACTCAATGTTATCTTCTAAGGATTTCTTCATCTTATTTTAAAATACTATGTTGTAACATATCACATGTCCTCAGTTCACCCAAGAATCAAGAAATTAGCCACAGGACCCAATAGTTATAATAGCTTGAACACCTTCTCTCTCTTGCTCTCTCTCCTCTCCTCTCTCTCTGTCTGTCTCTTCCTTTCCGTCTCTGTGTCTCTCTTTTACACTCTTCTTCTCCCTCTTTTCCTTCTTCGCCCCTTCCCTCCAGTCTGCCGGGTTGCCCCCAATAAACTCTTTTCCTTAAAAAAAAAATAGCTTGAACATGTTTCTTAGGGACTTCTCTCAAGTGAGTGTTCCTGGTTCTTTTTATTTTACTCACAGTTCTAACAAGGTTGATGATAAACCAGTAGGCTTTAGAGATAACTATTTAGTTATTATTTTTATTTGAGAAATTTAGGGAGAGTTAGATGAAGAGAGAGAACTCCTATGCTCAGTGAGAGAGAGAGAACTCTAATCTGCTGGTCCACTTTCCAAATGCTCACACTGCTGGCACTGTGGCACAGCAGTTTAAGCTACCATTTGTAGTGCTGATATTCCATATGGATGCCAGTTCGAGTCCCATGTTCCTGCTTCCCATCCAGTTCCCTGCTAATGCTCCTGGGAAAAGCAGCAAAGGATGGCCTAAGTGCTTGGGCCCCTGCACACACATGGGATGCCCAGAAGAAGTTCCTGGCTCCTGGCTTCAGACCAGCCATTTGGGGAGTTAACCAATGGATAGAAGATTTCTCTTTCTCTCTTTCTGTTTCTCCTCTCTCCCTGTAACTCTTTCAAATAAATAAATAAGTCTTTAAAAAAAAAAAAAGAAGATACACTGGTGTCAGCAATTTATGATATCTAATATAAAAGTGAACTAAGTTGAAACAAGAACTTAAAATAGACAAAAGGTGTCTGTGTAGAGGCAAAGTATTCTAAAATTGAATTGGCTGTGAGGGTCTTGTTGTGTATGACATGTTTCTTAGGAAAAGATAGTTACAGTTCTATTCCCTAGAAATAAAAGGCTGTGGAATCTGTATAGAAACCAACATAGGATGGTATTTTAATTTCATTTCTTTTATGTATTTTAGATTGCAAATATTAGGTGTGATTAACCAGTAAATGAATTGGTAAGCTAGGCAACGTTCATATTTCTTTAGGTAAAGATAGTTGTCACCTATTTTATTTTTTCATTTCATTATTTTATGTATTTATAGATTGGAATGTGATTTGAGCTTTTTTTTTTTCTTTTAAATACCAGATTTGGACTTCCAGATTCTAGACGGCATGGTGAAAGCATATGTCTGTCTCCATGTAACACACTGGCAGCAGTAACTGATGATTTTGGGAGAGTTATTTTATTGGATGTATCTAGAGGGATTGCAATACGCATGTGGAAAGGTACTTCTTTACAAAAATCTATAGAAAACATTTATTCACTTTTTTCTCTTAACATTAAGCAATGTTATCATTCTTCAGCCTCTAGCTAAGAATGCTGTTTAACCCTTCAGGTTTTTCTTTTCGTGTCAAAATGAACTCAGATTGGCAACACTTGATCCAGTATTAATCATTTTATAAGTTTGAACACCTCATAGGCACTTTTAACCTCTGTCTTATATGCTTTAAGTCTTTAAATTCTCACTGTCATCAATTTCTCAATTCAATTTCTTGCCCCAGCTATACTCATTACCCTTCACAAGGCCATGCTTGTGCCAAATGTCACATCCTAGTGCTTGGATCAGTCCACTTGGTTTATCAGTAACTATGTCAAGCAGGAGTTTCATTCAGCTGCTAGCAGCAGACTCAGTTATTGGTTTGACGTGATGTCACCACAGCATCCTAAGGAACCCAGTCTGCTTCCACATAGCTGCCCTACGCAGGGTCTCAGGCCAGCCACCTTCTCTGCTTTCCAAGAAGAGAAGAGAAGAGAAGATACTCCTGCCAGTCGAGTCTACTTTGAAGACACTGCCCAAAGTCCTTCCAGTCTTTATCTACATGCAGTACATTAGCCAGGACTTAGTTATGAGAGACTTGAAAGTGCCTTTGAACTGGGTACATTGTAAACCTGAGTAAAATAAAATGTCCAGACTTAAGAAGATGGGAGACTACATTGTTTAAAATCATCTGGAATAGCAATGTGTTGGAAACCATAATTAATGTACAATCTTTATGGTGTAAAGAATAATAGATTTGAGAATATTAAATCACTCTGGACCAGATTGAGGTCCCTATCATGTTCTTGCCAAAGAATCTGTACAGTGACAGGCACTTGTTTTATCTGCTACTTGTTGAAGTATCTGTAGAAGCAAGTTTCAGTGCTGTACATCCATCATTTCTTGGTGTTTGTCTCTGCAACATAATCGAAGGTGAGAAAATACAGCTGTACCAATTTGCCCAAATTTGCTTTGGTAATCTTGTTGCTGGCATTGTTACCTGTCTTTCTGCAGTTGGTGCAGTTTTCTTTTACATTGTGTGCTTGGGAGGGTAGCATCAATTGCCTAGGAGAGGGGGTGCCCTAAAACTGAAGATAGTGTTAGCTGCTGCTTCTTCATTCACACAGGGAATTCCTCATGTCACCATGCAGCCCATGTTTTCCCTCTGTCTACTGCCAAGGGGCTTGAATAGCAGAAAATCAACTTGTTTTTGTTTTTAAATTTTAAATGGGCTTTTATCTTAAAGCCAAACATAATCTCCCCAGAATATTTTTTTTAAGATTTAATTTATTTATTTGAAAGGCAGAGTTGCAGAGGCAGAGAGAGAGACAGAGACAGAGAAGTCTTCCATCCTCTAGGTCACTCCTCAAATGGCCACAATGGCTAGAGCTGGGCTGATCCGAAGCCAGATGCTTCTTCCAAGTTTCCAACATGGGTGCAGGGGCCCGAGCACTTTGAGCCATCTTCTGCTGCTTTCCCAGGCTACAGCAGAGAGCTGGATTGGAAGTGGAGCAGCCTGGACTTGGAACCAGCACCCATAAGGGATGCCAGCACTGCAGGCGGTGGCTTTACCCCCTACACCACAGTGCCGGCCCCCAGAATTTTTTTAAAGGAGGGAATCTTTTAAAGAGAGGGAGAGATGGAGATGAGAGCAGGCAGGAACACTCAAGAGGCTTCAGTTATAGCTACACTATTTTCTTTTTAAAGAAAAAAAGTGATCTGAAACAAATAAAGCAAAATACTAAGATTTGATAAGGCTTGGTGACAGATTGAATGTTTATTATATTTATTGTTATCTTGTCTAAGATATTTTAAAGTAAAAAGATAATACTCTACCACTCTCCTGTAGATATTCCAAAATGCTTCTGGAGGCTGCTGCTGAACGTTGATTAATAAACTAATTAACTTTCCCTGTCCTCTGTATCCAAGGCTACCGTGATGCACAAATTGGATGGATTCAAATTGTAGAAGATCTCCACGAAAGGGTACCAGAAAAGGTGGACTTTTCCCCCTTTGGAAATACTCAGGGTCCAAGTCGAGTAGCTCAGTTCCTCGTGATTTATGCCCCACGAAGGGGAATTCTAGAGGTGTGGAGCACACAGCAGGGACCTAGAGTAGGAGCTTTCAACGTGGGAAAGCACTGCAGGTAAGCTGCAAACCCTGGCATTTTGCAGGCTACAAAAAGAAATACAGGAATGCTTTTATTAAAATAAAGCTTTTGTTAAAGCTACTCATTAGGCTGCAAGCTGTGTGGGAATTGTAATGTCCTTTATTATGGCTTTTCCTGTGAGTGCCTGGTACATAATTAAGGATGAAGTACTTAGTAATAAAGAAATGCTATTGCAAAATGCCATCATTTTGCTGTTGAATTTAAGTCAGCTTGGTGCTGCTTATGCTGTCTAGACTGAAAAGGAAAACTTCCTTCAGATTCTCCTAGTGATGATGTTAAGTGAGGTGAATGTTTTGTTTGCCATCAAATATGGGCCTGATTGTGTTCATTTAATTTTGTAGAATCTTTTACTCTGCCAGTTGAGTCCTGCTTTGCTTATGTTTTGGTGTCAGCATTTACTTACCTCATTAAAGCTCCTGAATTGGTAATATTGTAGAGTTCTCTAAACTTGTAAATCTGTAGGGTTCTCTAACTATACTAAAAGCACCTTTTGATATTTCTCCTTTTGCTAATGTTTTGCCACATTGGTGTGTGATTTCCTTAGGTTACTGTATCCTGGCTATAAAATAATGGGCTTGAATAATGTTATCAGTCAGAGTTGGCAGCCACAGACTTACCAGATCTGTCTTGTGGACCCTGTGTCTGGAAGTGTGAAAACGGTGAATGTTCCTTTCCATTTGGCACTGAGGTAAGGCTTATTGAGTGTCTGCTGACTGATGTTCCTCTGCTCACTCTTCCTCTTCTCTTAGGACTTATGCCGCCTTTATTTTGTTGTTCTTGCTGCTTTAGTCTTCAGACTGCTATGTTTAAAATTAAATAGGAAATAAAAAGAAAGGGGGAATGAGCCATAAGTAGGAGGAAAGCATTTTGACATTCTGTAAGATTTTGTTGTATTTATTGTTTTAGTGATAAGAAGAGTGAACGAGCCAAGGATATGCATTTAGTGAAGAAACTGTCAGCCTTATTGAAAACGAAATCTCCCAATCTTGGTAGGCATCCTTTAGTAAAAATAATAAAGCATATTGTTCTGTCATTTTATTTATTTATTTTTTTTTTGGACAGGCAGAGTGGACAGTGAGAGAGAGAGACAGAGAGAAAGGTCTTCCTTTGCCGTTGGTTCACCCTCCAATGGCCGCCGCGGTCGGCGCGCTGCGGCCGGCGCACCGCGCTGATCCGATGGCAGGAGCCAGGAGCCAGGTGCTTTTCCTGGTCTCCCATGGGGTGCAGGGCCCAAGCACCTGGGCCATCCTCCACTGCACTCCCTGGCCACAGCAGAGGGCTGGCCTGGAAGAGGGGCAACCGGGACAGAATCCGGCGCCCCGACCGGGACTAGAACCCGGTGTGCCGGCGCCGCTAGGTGGAGGATTAGCCTAGTGAGCCGCGGCGCCGGCCTTGTTCTGTCATTTTAAAGATCAGTAAAATATTCTGAATGGAGCAGTCACAATATTTAAATGGGGGCAGGCATTGTGGCACACCGCTACTTAGGACACCCGCGTCCTGTATTGGAGTGCTGGTTTGAGCCCCAGCTATTCTACTTCCCATCCAGCTTCCCGCTCATGTAGCGTGGGAGGCAGCAGATGATTCTCAAGTGTTTGTGCCTTTGCCACCCGCTTGTGAAATCTTGTTGGAGTTCTAGGTTCCTGGCTTTGGCATGGACAAGCCCTAGTTGTCTCAGGCATTTGGGGAGTGAGCTAGTATATGGAAGACCTCTCTCTCTCTCTCTCTCTCTCTCTCTCTCTCTTTCTCTTTCTCTCTCTCTCTCTCTCTCTCTCTCACACTGTTTGTCTGTTGTTCTGCCATTCAAGTAGATGAAAATAGATGTTTTAAAATATGAGCTATCTCAACTACTTTTCAAAGTGAAGTAAGGTATAAGTTGTCACATGTACTTTTTATTGGAATTATGCTATATAAGACAAAAGTATGCCATCTCAGAGACATTGAAATTTATAACAAAAAAAAAAATGATGTGAGAAAACCTCACAATCCTTTGGATTGACAGATATTACAAATATGTTAATTTATTTTAGAATATTTTTCCATAATAAAAGTGAAATCTTTAATTTTGTCTTCATAGATTCAGTTGAAACAGAAATAAGGGAATTGATTCTTGATATTAAGTACCCTGCAACCAAAAAACAAGTAAGTTTATATAATATAGAAACTTTCCTACTGAGTAGTTGTTATATAAATATGCATGGTTTCAGAAAGTTTTTTGCGCCAAAGGAAACTTAATATTTATTTTAATTCCATTTTCCATGAGCATTTTGAAGGACTCTTGTACATCTCTTAAGAAATTCTTTACTTTCTTTTTTCCCTCTAAACACATCAATTTAAAGCCTTTGTGTTTTTCATCTGATTTATCCCTTCTTGCATTTCCATGTGGGAGTTTCTGTTGTCTTTCTCCTTTTTTAATTAAATAATATCATAAACATGATATTTATATATAATATATACTGGATCACAGATTAATGATAAACATATGTGTATGATGACCTATCTTAGGGAAGAGACACTTAGCTGGAACTCTAAAGAGCCCTGCATGTCTTTCCTCAGGCCCATACTCCTCTCCCTCCCCAAGGTAGCAACAATTCAGAATTTTGTTTCTCTCTCTTTTGCTCTTCTTGATGGTTATATCATTTCTTCATGGTTCCTTTGAAACCTACTGGTCGGTTTTTTGTCTTTTTAAGCTTTGTGTAAATTGCATTGTTTTCTGTCTTCTATGACTTTAGTTTTGCCTTTCAATGTTACATTTCTGTGAGTCATCTATATTAATATATGTAGCTGTAACTGATTCATTTACCAGACCAAATGAATCCCACTCTGGAAGTTATTTATCTACTCTGTTGTCAGTGAACATTTAGGTTATTTCTAGTTTTTTGCCATTACAAAGAATGATGCTATGCTTGTCCTTGTACCGATCTCCTAGTACACTTCTGCACATTTCTTCTGAATTTTTACCTAAGAGTAGAATTGCTAAGGTATGAGCTTTTTTAGCTGTAATGGCTGATGACAGTTGTTTTTCATGTCAGTTGTACTGACTTATACTCTCACTTGAACTTTATAAGAGTACTTGTAGCTCCACAGTCTCAACATCTCATGGTGTTGTCATACTTCCCCAGGTTTGTGGCCATTATATGGTAACTGATGGTGGTTTTTTTTTTGATGGTGATTTCTTTTACTCTCACTTTCTTGTCCAAACTCATCCTAATGCTGCTCATGTCCTAACTCCATAAATTCTTGCATGTCACTTCAACCCCCATAGATAACTCCAAGCTCTTACTCTACTTTAAGCCAGAACCAGATAGTAAATGACTGTTTTCCTATTATTTCATGAATATTAGTCGTAGTTCCTCAGCTTTTCCCTCTTTAGGCTTTTTTAAGCACCTTCAAGTAGGAATCTTATTGAATAGTCCCTTATCATAATTCACAACATTATGCTGCTGTGAGAATATGAGAGGCAAATCACAATGTTTTTTCCTGTTCTCTTACACAGTCACCCAGTACCTCTGCCACTAGACAGAAGTTTTTCTCCCCTATAATACCAGTCAGATTCTGCAGCTGGTTCTAGCTGGGTGTCCTCTAATTTCTTTCAGTTCTGACACTGCCTAGAGATGGCATCAGATCCCATAGGTTGGGAGCCCAGTCCCAGAAAGAAGACTTCCCTTCAGACACCAGTAGAAACTAGTAGGTTGTCACAGACTTCCTACTGACCAGCTATGAATTGGGGTTTCTACAGCCCCCTCCTCAGGTTTGATTAATTTGCTTCAGTGGCTCACAGAGCTTGGGGAAATACTTTACTTATATTTTCCCATTATTATAAAGGATATTACAAAGGAGACAGATGAACAGCCAGATGGAAGAGGCGTATAGAAAAAGGAATGAGGTTTGAATGGCTGTGCGTCGGGCCCGGCGGGGCCGCCGACGGACTCTCTAGGCTGCCGGGCGCGGTCTGTCACCGCCGGGGCAGGGCAGAGGCGCCGAGGTACCATGAGGCGCAGGTATTTAAGAGATTATGGCATCTGAAACCCACAATGTTAAAAAACGGAACTTTTGTACTAATATTGAGGATCATTCCACTGATCTTCCTAGAAAAAGGATCTCTAATTTCACCAATAAGAACATGAAGGAGGTTAAGAAATCTCCCAAACATTTGGCTGCTTACATAAACAGAACAGTTGGACAAGCTGTGAAAACCCCAGATAAACTACGTAAGGTGATCTATCGCAGAAAGAAAGTTCATCATCCCTTTCCAAATCCTTGTTACAGAAAAAAACAGTCCCCTAGCACTGGGGGCTGTGACATGGCAAATAAAGAAAATGAACTGGCTTGTGCCGGTCACCTGCCTGAAAAATTACGCCATGATAGTCGCACATATTTGGTTAATTCCAGTGACCCTGGCTCTCCACAGACAGAAAGCCCATCATCAAAATATAGTAGTTTTTTTTCTGAGGTTTCTCAGGACCATGAAACAATGGCCCAGGTTTTATTCAGCAGGAATTTGCGATTGAATGTAGCTTTAACTTTCTGGAGAAAGAGAAGCATAAGTGAACTTGTAGCCTATTTGGTGAGGATAGAAGATCTTGGAGTTGTAGTAGATTGCCTACCTGTACTCACCAATAGTTTACAGGAAGAAAAACACTATATCTCACTTGGCTGCTGCGTGGACTTGTTGCCTCTAGTAAAGTCATTACTTAAAAGCAGATTTGAAGAATATGTAATAGTTGGTTTAAACTGGCTTCAAGCAGTCATAAAAAGGTGGTGGTCAGAACTGTCATCCAAATCAGAAATCAGAAATGATGGAAATATTCAGATTTTAAGACAACAATTAAGTGGGTTGTGGGAACAAGAAAACCATCTTACTTTGGTTCCAGGATATACTGGTAATATAGCTAAGGATGTAGATGCTTATTTATTACAGTTGCATTGAGAGATTTCATCTACTAAACAGCATTTGGTTATTCGAGACATCCTGGGACTATAGGATTTCCAAAAATAGGTCTCTTCTGAGAACTGTGAACTGTGGAAGAAATCAAAATCATTTTTTCTTTTAAAAAGCCACAAATTGAAACCACTAATGAAACGCTAACAATCTACTTCACGTTGAAGTGGAATAGTATCCAAAAGGAGCAGCTTCAACTTCAATGAGGTGAAAGTGCACTATGAAGATTGTTCGCCTTTGCTGCATTCGGGGTCTGTATGGTTATTTGATAACATTGTTTAAGAACTACTGGGTCTTAATGCAATCATGCATAAGAATATAATTTATACTCTGCAAAAGTAAGACAAGAGTTATTACTAGAAACTACAAAGACCAATCGTGATTTTTTTTCAAGATTGTGTTTTATAAAAAACTTAAATGTGTGCAGCTATTTTCTTATGTTGAAAGACTTTGAAAGTGAAAACATTAAAGTAAATAATATTAAAAATGTTCACACTGAAATGCTGTTTATGCAAAATGCCTTAATTATTAACTAAGCCAATATATTATGATACCAATATCTGTTTTAAAAAATTGAAACCAACCATGCTTCTGGCATGATAAAATCCTGGAATTAAATCAGGGGTTTACATTCACATAGAATGTTATTGTTCAGATATATTCCACACAAATTTTAAAACTTGAGAATATTTTTAGTATCTCTGATTTTTTTTTTTTGCCAGAATCATCATGCCATGTATGTATGTATTATCCCTATATAAAAAAGGTGAATATGTGTATGAATGTTTAACTGGAAATGTCCATGGAATTAGCTAATTTATATTCACTTTTTATTGTATATATATTTCTAATATTTTTCATTTCTGTATCATTTAAACTTTCTTCACTTGAGTAAATTCACTAAATATTTCTAAAAAAAAAAAAAAAAGAAAAAGGAATGAGAGAAAGGATGCAGAGCTCCCATGCCCTCTCTGAATGAGCCATCTTCCAAGAACTTCCTATGTCCAACAATCTAAATGCTCACCACATCCTATCCTTTTGAATATTCATGGAGACTTCATTATGCAGCCGTGATTGATTACATCTTTGGCCAGTGATGATCAACTCAACCCCTCTCCCCTGCACAGAGGTCAAGGGATGGGACTGACAGTTCTAATCTCTAATCACGTGATTGGTTCAGCTGGCAACCAGCCCTCCTCCAATCTTTCTAGGAGCCCACCAAGAGTCACTTTATTAGAATAAAAGGATCCTGAAATCATCGAGGAAATTACGAAGTTCTTAGGAACTCTGTGTCACAAACAGGGGATCAGAGACCAAAAGATTGGCGTAACACTGCTGTTGCTCAGGAAATTACAGGAATTTTAGTAGCTCTGTGCCTGAGGTTAGGGAGAGAGATCAATACCTATATTCAGGGATGGGACAGGAGTAGGGATTGAAGGGTGGGGTATGAAAGAACCACTATATTCCTAAAGTTGTACTTACGAAATTTACATTCATAAATAAAAGCTTTAAAAAAATACCTGTATTCATTATTGCACAGCAGTGTACATGGCAGGACTTAATGGTTTCTGTTGCAGTCTTTTTTTTTAAGGTGTTAAGCTTTTTATTCAGTGAGAGAAATGCACAGGAGAGTGAGGGCTTTATTTAGGGGAGAAAGAGAAGTCCAGAGGCTAAGTTGGGTCCATACCAAGCAGAGAGCAGGCTGGGATCAAGCCACGTGGAGCAGGCGTATGGTTATGAACAGCCACAAGTAGCTTAATGCGGCAGCAAAGCGAAGGCAGAGAGCAGGCCAGTAGGCTATGCACCCCCAAGGCACGGGTGTTGCAGTATTTTTAAAAATGTATTTTTTATTGTAGAACAGAGAAATCTCAGTGACTTTTAATGCCATTTTTCATTCAGCTGACAATGTTGTGTCTCATTTTGCTCAAGGTTGAGTCTCAGTTATTAAAGGTGATCCCATGATGACAAGGTTGGCATCTAGAGAGTCTGCAGTAGAGAAGGTCACAACCCTAAAAATTCTCACTTAGATACCATCTTGTTGAAAAATTTTGTATCACAGAACAACCATCAAGAAACTCGCATAGTGAAGCCTCTTTGTTTGTCTTTTAATTTTATACTATACTGCTGAATCATGTAGAAATTTGGGAATTTTATTGGAAATGTAGACAGCAGGTATTGTGGTGCAGTGGGTTGGTTAAGTCATTGCTTGGGGTGCCCACATGGGACATCAAAATGCTGGTTTGAGTCCTGGCTATTCTGCATCTAATCTAGCTTCCTGTTCGTGCATCCTAGGAGACAACAAATGATCACTCAAGTGCTTGGGCCCCTGCCACCACTTGGGAGACCTGGAAGGAGTTCTCAGCCCCTGGCTTCAGCCCGGCCCAGCCCTGGCTGTTTAGGGAATTTGAAGTGTAACTAGTAGATATAAGATCTCTTCTCTCTCTCTCACTTTTGCTCTTGCTTTCGCTATCTGTTGCTCTGCCTTCCCAGTAGATGAAAATAAATATTTTAGTAAGTAGATAGTTGGAAAACCCAGTAGCAGAAGTTATTTATTGTTTTACAACACTAGAGGAAAGGAAGAATCCAGGTTAGGCTGTGGGCCACAGGACGATAGGAAGGAAGTCAAGCCAGATGCTAGCCTGTGTAATCATGAACAAATGGCATTTGTCCTGGGCTCTTACCCCTTAAGGTCCCTTTCTTTAGTTAACTCAATCATAGGCCTGTCATCGTGAGATACCCTTTAAGCCCATTTCTCACCCATAAAAACACAGAAGTTATTGTGTTATGATCTGATGTTTATCTCATGCCACATTCTCTGCCTATTTGAGTATTTCATCTCATCAATTAAAATCCAGTTTAATGTACTGATATGGAAGGATAAATATGAATTTTGCCTGCAGATTAACCCTTTGATGTGTCTGATGGTTGCTGCTATAGGCATGAGGAAGTATTTTGCAACTGATGATAAAAACTCTTAAATGTCTGCGGGGGTGGTGTGGTGGGGACAGGTAGGTATGGTAGGATGGAGTGTATATGCTATACCTGGCATGGCCTATAGATTTAGCTGGTTATACTCAAATGCAGATATAAGTAATAACTAAATCATTCTCAGCTTTTATCACTTACATGGCAGTAACTTCTGCTTTTCCCTTATGCCTAGGTAGTATAGGTTTATTCAAATATTTGTTATTGGTGAATAGCTGTCTCTGTTTCTGTCTTGACTCATTCTGTTAAGCATCAGTTGCCTTCAAGTTACTGCCTTCTTAGTTTTTTTTACTTTCTTTGTTATTATACCATATTTGGCATGACATGAAGTTGTTTACATGACACTTATGATACAACTTTAATTCTCAGATAGGAGTACAAAAATAGCTTAAATGTGGAGCTTCTTGTTGAAAGTTGGGGTAGTGAAAATATACACATAAATGTAAAACTTTAAAAACAATCATTGCCTTCTAATTATGAGAATTGCTCAATATCATTTTTCTAGGCTTTGGAAAGCATTTTGGCAAGTGAACGCTTACCATTTTCCTGCCTTAGAAACATCACCCAGACTTTAATGGATACTTTGAAAAATCAAGGTAATAGGGTTTGTACTGATTGGCAGTTGCTATGGCTTCATCGCATTCTGTAACTCTGTTTTTAAAAAACTGTTAATTACTTAGGATGGCATCATATTACTTTCAAATGGAAATGACATGTAAAGAGTAAGGAAACTTATTTCATACCTTGAGTATTTGGGAACAGTTTTTATTCTTTACTCAGTGTACACAGTTAATCTTCATCTGAGCTGTTGGTAAATTTATTGTTAAGGGAAGTATTTGCTTTTGAATCCCTTGACTGTGAGGAAAGACATCAGTGCAGAATGATGAGAAATGGTTGTAGAACATTATGAAAGCCAGTGGCAGGAAGGGGAAGTTAACTGGTGGTATGCAAAACACAGCCACTTGCTTCACTGCCATTGTTTTTTACTTAGGCTTGTGGGAGGACAGAGATTCCTAGAGGAGGCATTCTTAAGTACTGTTGTTGACTGAGTTGCTAGTCAAAAATATTTATGTTTTGAATAAATGTTCTGTTAGTGTATAGTATCTATATTATCTGCATTTTCTCACCCATTTCTCTCATGAATAGAGAGCTCTTCAAATCACAGGCTGTAATTAGATTATCTGTTCTGAATCGGTCTGGTTGTTAGTTTTCAAAATTTATGTGCATAAAGAGAATTACTTTTGAAACTGTAGGTTATAACTTTGTACTCTTATCCAGCTCAGCTAGTGAAATTCAGTTTATTGTGAATTCCTAACATCAGTGAATTTGGAGTGTGCAGTGTATTGACTTCAGCTAATCGTGACTTTTCGCTTGTCTTGTTAATTATATAAGACAGCTTTATACTTAATTATATTTATATTTAATTATGTTTATACCAGCTTAAAGTAGCTGAATTAACAAATCATTATATTCAGGATGGCCAACATCCTTTCATCAGATATGTAGAGCTGACTTTTGATAAACAGTGAACTCTGAGTTTTTAGTATACACAACTTTTTCCTTTTATTTATTTATAATATAAAGAGAACAGATTTTATGTAGTTCATATATACAATTCTAAGAATATATTGATACTTGCCTCTCTCTCTCCTTTCCTTCCACCCCCTTCCTTACTGTTTTAATTTTCACAATAACATTTTTAATTTACTTTATAATTATAGACTTAACACTCCACTAAATAAAGAGTTCAACAAGTAAAAAGTAGAAAGACCACTTTTCAGCAGGAATATAGGCCATAAACAATAATCAAATTCCAAGATATCAGTTTCACTCATATACATCTTTTAAAAAGCATGATATGGGGCAGGCATTGTGGCAGAGCAAGTTAACTCACCACCTGGGATGCCAGTTTAAGTCCTGGCTACTCCACTTCCAATCCAGCTACTTAATAATGCATCTTAAGAAGCAGCAGATGATGGCCCAGATTCTTGGGCCCAGCCACTCAAGTGAGAGACCTGCATAGAGTTCCAGTCTCCTGGTTTTGGCCTGGCCCAGTCCTTTCTATTGCAGGCATTTGAGGAGTGAACCTGTGAACTAAAGATGTCTCTCTCTCACTCTGTCTCTTATTCTGCCTTTCAAGTAAGTGAAAATAAATAAATAAATGGAAATTTTAAAAAAGGCCTTAACAAATTATCAAAGTTTGTTAAATGAACAGTAATCTTATGATGATTTTTACAATGATCCTATAACAATGAGTAAACCAAATACCATTATTGTAGTTTTGTAAAAAATCATCACAATCTCAAGGTCTACCCATAAATGAAATTTCTAAAAATTATAAGGATTTTTATGCTGTTTTATTACAGTGATAAGAATTTGGACAGTATTCCATATTATTGTATCATAAATAACATCTCTTTGCAGAGCAATAACGTTTAGCCTAGTTTGATTCCTAGCTCCAGCTCCTGCCTCTAGGTTCCTTGTAATGCAGATCTTAGGAGGCAGCAAGTGATGGCTCAAGTGATTGGGTTCCTGTCACCCACGTGTGAGATCTAGATTGCGTTCTGTTTTCCTGGCCTTGACTTGGCCCCAGCCACTTTGAGCATTTGGGGAATGAAGCAGCAGATGGAAGTGTGCTCATGTGCTCACTCACTTACTCTCTCTCTGCCTTCCAAAAAAAAATAGGGAGTTTTTATTGTCTAATCTTTTTTAAGGTTTATTTATTTATTTATTTGAAAGGCAGAGAGAGAGAGATATTTGCATCTTCTGATTAACTCTCCAAATGGCCACAATGATCAGGGCTGGGTCAGGCCAAAGCTAAGAGTCTGGAATTCGTCCCAGTCTCCAGTGTTGGGAGCAGGGGCCCAAGTACATGGGCCATTTTCTGCTGCTTTCCCAGGTGCATTGGTAGGCAGCTGGGATCTGAAACAGAGTATCCAGGGCTTGTACCAGTGTTCATCTGGGATGCTGGTGTTGCAAGTGGTGGTTTACCCCACTACACCACAATGACGGCTTCAGAGTTGTGCCTTCTTTGACCTCCACAATAAGAAGAGCCAAGCAACTTTGTATTTGCATATCGTTGGTATGAGTATAATATTCAGCAAATGAGTTTTATGTAAGGGAGAATATTTTTGAGGTGTTCCCAGATCATTTAATTTTAAAGCTTTAATTTTTTAGCTTTAAATTTGAGTATTAGACAAAAATATTTCTGCTTTCCTTGTTTTCTTTTTTTCCCCTTGTACTATGAAGCATCTTATTTCATTTAGAAAGTTAGATTTTTCGCAGTAATGGAAAGATTATCTTTGCTTTCAAAATGTGGTATAGGCTAAGATACCCCAATATTTAGTGTAGCAAAACATCAGAAGGTTATGTAGTAGTAAGAGATTTAATGAAAGAAAAGCCTACCTATGAGTGTTAAATGTATCTTTAAAATATTTTTGCCTCTGCTTTTTAGAGCTTGAGTCTGTTGATGAAGGATTGCTACAGTTTTGTGCTAATAAGCTGAAATTGCTGCATCTTTATGAATCTGTCAGTCAATTAAATTCCCTTGATTTTCATTCGGACACACCATTCTCTGATAATGTGAGTAACCGAAATTTTAGCTGTATAGTTTTACATAAAATAATCTCTTTGGTTGTTTTTAGATTTTAAATCAGTAGTAAAGAGGTTTTTCCTAAAAGCTTAAAGGTGTATTTTCTTTACAAGATCCTCTGTTGAATCTTTGTTCCTTGCTACTGCTAAATGTATATTATTTGCACAAGAATATTAAATTTTATTGTCAATCCATTTTTACTAATCTAGAATCATTTGCTTTTATTCAACTCATTTTTTAGGTTACTTCTTATAAAACAACTTTTTTTTTGGATGAGGCTTGTAGTAAACTGAATTAAAAAAAACTATAAAGAAAGCAAATGCTTTTTTTCTTTTTTTTTTTAAGATTTTATTTTATTATTTATTTGAGAGTCAGTGTTAAACAGAGAGAGGAGAGCCAGAGAGAGAGAGAGGTCTTCCATCCGATGGGTCACTCCCCAGATGGCTGCAATGGCCGGAGCTGTGCCGATCCGAAGCCAGGAGCCAGGAGCTTCCTCCTGGTCTCCCACATAGGTGCAGGGGCCCAAGGACTTGGGCCATCTTCCACTGCTTTCCCTGGCCATAGCAGAGAGCTGGACAGGAAGTGGAGCAGTCAGGTCTCGAACCAGCGTCCATATGGGATGCCGGCGCTTCAGGCCAGGGTGTTAACCCACTGAGCCACAGCGCCAGCCCCTTTTTTTTTATTTAGTTAGTTTTTTTAAAGAAAAGCAAATGATTTTTCAAAACAGTACACACCTGTTTTTCTGTGTTATCAAGCTTGTGCAGCTTCCTCTTTCGTGTACTGAGATGAAATACCTTTTTAAAATATTTTACATCAAAGTATTTAAATAATTATATGAAATGTTCTTATAACATTGTAACTTATTCTGCAAAACATAGAGTGACAGCCCCTGGCAATCATATTACAGTGCAGTATTGTTTGCATCTGAGGAGAATTCTAGATTTTCATACAGAAACCTGAAGTTCTGCTGAGTGGGGAATAGGGACAAATAGTGTCCTCTCTCCTCCAGTTCCTCTGTGATACTGGTTAGGTTGTCTTTAACTAAAGGAGGATTGTTAGCATGAGTTAGTGGCTTGTCAAGTCACTGATAATGTTTTTTTTTTTTTAAATTATCTAGAATATTTGAGAAGCATTTCATGTTAAATATACATACATATGAATAAAATTTTAGAAAAAGTGAGAGACTTTCTCTTTGTAATGGACTCTATCTTCTTTTTTGCCTTTGGGATTTTATATGACCTTTATATAGCATTTTAACAATCTGTGCATGATAGTCTCCAGCCATTATAAATGATAAAAGAGTTAAGTTTTTAAGAGTCTTTTGGTTTTCTATCTACTTTAGCATAGTATAAAATAGTTTTAAGCAATAGGAAGGTCCAAGTTGGTTAAGTGACATCCACAGAATTGCCTAAACACTTCACAGATTCTTCACTGCCTAATTTTCTCTTAACATCTAAATTCCCATGTGTACATCCTGCCAAAGAGAGTTGAATATACATAATTAATAATCCCCTGTAGGATTAATTTCCACTTGACCGATCCTGTATAGTATGCAAATTTAGAACAATTATGAAGCTGTAAGAATCAATTGGCAGATTGATTTTTTAAAAGTACTTTTTAAGAATTAAAATTATATTTTGCTAGTAAGACCATTTGGATGCTTCAAAAATATGCATCTGGCTCTAGGCTGAATAGGTAATTTTGTGCATGTAAAACTAAAATTTGGATCTGAAGAAGTTTATTTTTCACATTTGAAAGAAATCACATTTAAGTTTAGTATATGGAACTACTAGTATTGTTTTATAGCATTTCGTGGTTTACTTCTTGTTTAAAAAACAATATCTTAAAGTAAATAAATAAATGACACTCCTCTTGTTTAAGAATATGGCTTAAGTTCCATGGGGGGAAAAAATTTGCTTGCTGTGGGAAATTTATGGTCTTTGAGTGTGCATGTGTATGTGTATACGTGTCCCTAATTTAGTAGTGTCAAGAGATGTTTCTGCATAAATGGTGTGTGAAAATAGCTTGAAAGGCTGGTAGGTTCTGTCTGTGACTTTTCAGTCTTAGAATCTCTGAGAGTCATATGTTTATATTTGTAGATATAATAATAATTGTATTCTCATATTTTTATTATATAGTGTTTAGAATATTTTGCTTATTAAATAAACATATAAGTTCAAATAGTTCCTTAGTTTCCTCACAGTGACAAGAACTGTAGTTGATAAATGTCTTAATCTTTATTCTGATTATGTAATATTATGTTTCTTAAAAATTCCAACCTTTTACAAGAGTAAGAAACTGAAGAAGGTCCTAAAGTGGTACTTTGGTAGTAGGTAGTGTTTTGAAATCAGTTTGTCTTATTTAAGTAACCTCCCACTCATGAAATACAGAATTTTAAACAGAGTGCATTGTAGCTATTGCATTAATTTAAAAAGCCATGCTTTGCTTACAGCTTTGAATTTCAGTTCAGATAATGGGGTTGATACATGTGGATGTGTAGAAAAAGACACAGTCTGATCAGAATTTTTTTTTTCTATTTTTAAGGACTTGGCTTTGTTACTAAGGCTTGATGAAAAGGAGCTGCTCAAGCTCCAGACATTATTAGAGAAATATAAGCAAGAGAGCATCAGGACTACTGTGAGATTTTCTGATGATAAGGATGGTGTGTTGCCTGTAAAAACATTCCTGGAACATTTAGAATATGAGAAAGATGTGCTCAATGTAAAAAAGATAAGTGAAGAGGAATATGTGGCTTTAGGTAGGTGAAATAATAAACTACTTACGTATCCTCCCACTTCTAGAAGCCTGATAGAAATATTCAGCATCTCAGTGATGCATTTTGTTTTGAAATTAAATTAACTGAAGAATTTAATGTATATTGTTTGGCCAACACAAGGTAATTTTGGTATATATGCACTATGTCATGCAAATTGTATCTTATTTGTAAGTATATTAAAGCTATAATATTAGAAGTGAAATGAATTGCTTTCTGCTCTGTAAGCAAATTGAACCCTTATTTTGTCTTCTCTCATGCTGTTTTACTCCCCTGGAAGTCTAGATTGCAATGTAGGAAGATTATTAGTCCCAGTGGTAAGTTATCATAGGCTAATGTGTTTGAGTTTTGTTCTACTAGGCAGTTTCTTTTTTTGGAAGTGTTTACATGGAGAAAGCTCCACTGAGGATATGTGTCATGCTTTGGAGTCAGCTGGACTTAGCCCTCAGCTCTTACTGGTAAGATTTAGTTGCTGGATGCTGTTCTTCCCTGCACTTGTCTTTTATCATAGAACCTTCAAAAAAAAATGATCAGAGAAGTTTGCAATCACTATATTTAATAGAATAGTATTTTTTGTTCCCTTTTCATTTTTTAAAGAATTTATTTTATTTGAGAGGCAGAGAGACAGACAAGGCAAGGGCAAGATCCAAGCTCCGGGTCCTCCTTTTCTCTCCAGTCCAACCTATAGCTCACTGGCTGACCCCTCATCAGTCTACAGAGAATCCATGCTCACATAGTGGTATCCTTTCTGGTAATAAGTTACTTAGTAGAAGGTCGAATTAGAAAGCAGTGTTTACCTCAAAGAAGAGTTGAAGGAGTGGGTGTGTGGCAGAGATTAAATCACCTCTTGGGACACTCACATCCCCTATCAGGGTGCCTGGTTTGAGTCCCAGCTACCCCTGCTTGCAGTCCAGCTGCCTCCTTATATGTACCCTGGGTGATGACCCAAGTACTTGGATTCCTGCCATGCACGTGAGAGATCCAGAATGAGTTCTGAGTCCTGGCTCAGCCTTGGCTGTTGTGGGCATTTGGGGAGTAAACTAGTTGATGGAAGATTGATATATCTATCTCTCTATCTCTCCCTCTTTCTGCCTTTCAAATAAAATATAAAATTAATCAATTAATTAAAAAAGATGTGCTGTCTTAAAAAAAAGAGATGGAAACAGTCCAACAATTAATGTAGACCCTTAGGTAGACAGGTCTCTTGTTTTACCAACACATTATTTTATCTAACAACCAATCACTTCTTTTGTTTTTTGTTTGTTTGTTTGTTTTATTTGACAGGCAGAGGTACGTAACAAAGGGAGGGAGAGACAGAGAAAGGTCTTCCATCCACTGGTTCACTCCCCAACTGGCCACAGTGGTTGGAACTGGTCCAGGAGCTTCTTCCGGGTCTTCCACATGGGTGCAGGGGCCCAAGCACTTGGGCCATCCTCTTCTGCTTTCCCAGTATAGCATAGCAGAGATCTGGATTGGAAGTGAAGCAGCCAGGACATGAACAGGCACCTATATGGGATGCCAGTGCCACAGACAGAGACAGTCTGCTACGTCACAGTGCTGGCCCCCAGCCACCTATTTTCCAACCCAAAAGGTTGCTCCATTTGTATACACAGGAGTTCTCTAGAAAAGTGCATCATTGTGTCCATGCTGAATACGTTTTTAGACTTACAGAGATTTAATTTGCTTTCAGTCTCTACTCCTGAGTGTTTGGCTTTCTAAGGAAAAAGATATTTTGGATAAACCGCAGTCTGTCTGCTGTCTTCATACAATGCTGTCCCTCCTGAGTAAGATGAAAGGTAGGACACTGGAGAGTGTGGGGGCTCAGCAGTCTCCAGCTTTGGGTTGCTGCTCTTCAGAACAAAGTATAATATTTGAAATACCACAAAAACAGGAGGGAGGGTAGTTTTCTTAACAAAAATATACTATAGAATAGAAATCATTTCCCCATAGAGATTCTTTCATGTTTTAATAGAAAGCACTTAATGCATTTGAGGTATACTTTAAGAAAATTAAATTTACATTTTGTGTCATTAACCTTATATTTTGTGAAGTGATTAATACATTTTTTAGTAAGGAAAATCGAGTGGTTTCTGGTTAAGGTTAAGGTAACATTTTTCTTATTTTTGGTATGATTATCAAAACAATAGTGTGTTATTTTGAAATAATCTTAGTTTTCAGTAATGATGAAAAAATTACAGGTAGGGATTTAATACTGATTCAGAAATAGGATGACTAACAGAGCACAAATATATGGAATATAAATGGTCTGAATAAAATAGATTATGGATTTATTTTCCAGTTCATTCAGAAATATAAAGTTAACATGTTCAACATGAAAGTTTAGGCAAAAAAAAAAATCAACCATGTAAGAGTTTGTTTTGAATTTGCTCCCTATCCTTGTAGTGGCCATTGATGAGACGTGGGATTCCCAGTCTGTTTCCCCTTGGTGGCAGCAGATGCGCATGGCCTGTATTCAGTCTGAGAACAATGGAGCTGCTCTGTTATCTGCACATGTTGGGCATTCTGTTGCTGCACAGATATCGAACAATATGGCAGAGAAAAAAGTAAGTGGGGGAAGGAGCAGCTTAGATCTGTATCCATCCAGTCTCCCAAGCCACGCTTTCCTTTTCTGAAAGCCTGCTTATCTTCAAGATTATGAAACATCTAGAATTTCGGGTATATGTCCAATCATTTGTTATTTGTTGAGACTTTTTTGGGAGGGAGAAGAAGGGAGCTGCCCTTAACTTGTATGTTCAGATGCTATACTTACTTGACTTCAGCTGGGCCCCTGGCGTGAGGGAGAAGTGCTGAAGCTGCCACTCGGAGAACTGGCTTTCTGCCAGTTGTCATGAGTCCCTGTAGAATGAGTCTCCTGGCTTTGGGTTCTTCATCCACAGGAGGTCAGGGTTAGACTGTATTACTTCTTGCCTTTGTTCTAGTTATAAACTTCTATGATTATCTTCCCTTCCATACAGCTAGAATTGAGTGGTTGCAATGTAAGGTTTCTATTCATAGCTGCTTTGTGGCTTTTCCTCATCTCGAGGATGCAATTTTTTCTAAGGAAAAAACTAACACACCATGTATTTTGTGGTGGGTCAAATGATTTTTTTCTAGGAAGATGTTACTTTAAGTTGGTGAGACACCTGAGTGTGCAGTGATTCACTTACCAGTGTCAGTAATTAAAGGTTACATTTAGTGTCACCAGATTACTATGTTTATACTGATAGGAAATTTCAGATACTTTTGTAAGGTGACAGGTACATCCTGAAGAGGTACCCACAGGAAAAACTGTCCTGATTGGTACCCACAGGAAAAACTGGCCCTTGCCATGATGGGACACAAGACTCTGAAATGTACACTGGCCAAATTGGGTCATTACCGCAGGGCTCCGTGTAAATGCCTTACCCCAGTATCCTTCCTTCTGAGGCTCACGTTTCATCCAGGCCAGTAGTAGTTTTTGTGAAACAACCTCTGTATGTTGCTTTGTGATGCATCCTTCTGTCCAAAAGCCTTCAAGTTCAAAGCCAATTCAAGTTCATGCGATTTTCATCCTTGCCAGAGAATCACCAGTGTACTTTCTGTTAGTTTTCCCAAACAGCTTTGGGTACTGATTGGGAGGCGCTCACTGATTCCTGGGAGGCCCTTTCCCTTGACACTGAGTACTGGAAGCTGCTGCTGAAACAGCTGGAGGACTGTCTCATCCTCCAGACTTTGCTCCATAGCAGAAGAAGTCTTCCAGCCTCCAAAGTGTCTGCACTGCAGGCTGAGCCGCTTCCAAGGCTTTCTGTTAAGAAACTACTAGAAGGAGGAAAAGGTAAGCTGAGTTGTATTTGAGCATCTGCATCTATGCTTTCATGGCATGAGTTTTTTTTTTCTTTTATAATTAAAATGACTTGGAGGGATAGGGAAAGAGAAATACCTTCAGATTTTAAAAATAAAATGACCCTCCATATACTTCTCAATTAATTTTCTCTAAGTTTGATTTGGTCAGGTCTCTGTTCAGGAAGCCCCAGGTACTGCGCGCTGCCTTGCTACATAAGCATTCATTCTTCTAGCGTGTCAGAGGGCCTCAGGAGTCCTCCCTTTGCCAACTGCAGGTCTGTGTGAGGCCAGGTTTTCCTCATCAACTTTGACCACAACAGATCACCATAGAGATTGAATGCCGAAGCTGATTGGGAGAGAATTGAGATATAAGACAGACATTAACTCAATGTGCGGAATTTTAATCTTCTCACTAAATATCACTTGTGGGAGGGGAAGGTGAACATTTGGCACACGGGTTCAGATGCCACTTGTGACACCTGCATCCCATATGCAAGTAAATGAGTTCAAGCCCTGGCGTTATTCCTGATTCTGGCTTCCTGTTCATGCCCCACTCTGGGAAGCAGCAGATGATGGCTCAAGTTCTTGGGTCCCTGCCAGCCACATGAGAGACCTGGATTAAATTCCAGGCTCTGGGCTTTGGCCTACCCAGTCCTGACTGTTATGGGGAATGAACTAGTGGATGGAAGATCTCTCTCTGCCTCTCCCTCTGCCTCTCTTTTCTTTCAAATAAATTTTAAAATAAGTTTAAAAAGTTTTAAACATAAATATATTTGTTGTGTTTTAAAAATTTTATTTTCATAAAATACTATTAGTATGTAATTGGGTTAGTTTTTATTTTAAAGTGAATAAAATGTTTTTTAAATTTCTGATTTATAGTATCAACAGATAAAACCCATATACCAAAGTTTTTTGGTATTGTCAACAATTTTTTTTAACAAGATTTATTTTTATTTACTTGAAAGGCACAGTTAGAGAAAGAGAGATCTTCCATTTGGTGGTTCACTCCCAAATAGCCACAACAGCTAGGGCTGAGCCCAGCAGAAGCCAGGAGCCCAGAGGTTCTTCTGGGTCTTCCACATAGGTTCAGAGGCCCAAGCACTTGGGCCATCCTCTGCTGCTTTTCCCAGGCCATTAGCAGGAAGCTGGATTGGAAGTGGAGCAGCCAGAATCCAAACCTACACCCATATGGGATGTGGGCATTGCAGGTGGCGGCTTTAACCCACTAGAACATAAGAACCGGCTCCTGTCAACAATTTTCAAGAATTTAAGGAGTCATAAAACTGAGAAGCTTGAAGGTCACTGGAGTCAATTATAAACTCATCCTTACTCTCCAAGAGCTTGACTTTGAATCTAACTCATTTTTCTAATCCTTGCTCGCTTGCTTCCTAAGTTTTAGTTAGAATGAAGCATCCCTATAACTCCCATCTTTGGATCTGAGTCTGTTCTCTTTTCCCATCCCGCTGTCCCTGGTATCTAAATATTACTTATCTTTCAACGTCCAGCTCAAGTGCCACCTGCTCCAGGAAATCTTTAGGATCCATTCACTGCAGATGTTCTCCTCTGCCTCCTACCCACCGTAGGACTTTATTCCTCTTTTCTGAAGCTCACATTCCACTGCCCTCGAGTCATTTAGGTTCCAGTGCTTCCATCATGCAGGAACATAAACTTCCTACATTTTGAATTATTTTGGAGATCCTCACTCTTCTTATCAACACTTCTGTTCAGCAGTTGATAGCAGCATGACTGTATTTCTAGATTTATAAATACCCATGTATTAATACATTTTCATTTAATACATTCTCTCACTTTATAAGACTTAATTTCATATAAGACTTAATTTCATCGTAAACTTACACTAACTACTTACTACACTAACTACTACTTACTGCACCTAGTGAATGTATAGGGGCACCATTTTTTCTTTGGACAGGCAGAGTTAGTGAGAGAGAGAGACAGAGAGAAAGGTCTTCCTTTTTCCATTGGTTCACCCCCCAAGTGGCCACTATGGCTGGTGCGTTGCGGCTGTCGCGCTGTGCCAATCCGAAGCCAGGAGCCAGGTGCTTCTCCTGGTCTCCAGTGTGGGTGCAGGGCCCAAGGACCTGGGCCATCCTCCACGGCACTCTTGGGACACAGCAGAGAGCTGGACTGGAAGAGGAGCAACCGGGACAGAATCCGGCACCCCAACTGGAACTAGAACCTGGGGTGCCGGTGCCGCAGGTGGAGGATTAGCCTAGTGAGCTGCGGCACCAGCCATAGGGGTACCATTTTAATAGTACTCTAAGCAAAATATTCAGTGGATTAATTCTTCAGTGAAAAGTATCAAATAGTTAGAGGCCACAAATAATTTTTTTTAAAGATTCTTTATTTGAAAAAGTTACACAGAGAGGCAGAGAGAGAGATAGAGAGAGGTCTTTCATCCACTGGTTCACTCCCTAACTGGCCTCAACAGTTGGAGCTGTGCCGATCCGAAGCCAGGAGCTTCTTCCGGTTCTCCCATGTGGTTGCAGGGGCCCAAGGACTTGGGCCATCTTCTACTGCCTTCCCAGGCCATAGCAGAGAGCTGGATCAGAAGTGGAGCAAACCAAAGCCCATATGGGGTACCAGCACTGCAGGTGGTGGCTTTACCCACTACGCCACAGCACCGGCCCCCACAAGTGAGAAATTAGATCACCTAGTGTACTGCTGTTGCGTATGTTCTCTGATGATTGTGAATTCACTGTGAAGCATTCTTTGTATGCAATGGTTTTTATTAGAATCAAAATAGAGAAGACAAAGAAAAATGTTTTATAAATTGTAGAAGAATATATAACTTGTTTTCATTAGTAAACAGGACTCTTCAAAGGTCTTAGATGTTTTTCAGCTTGGATTTATAGTTTTTATAATATTGACTGAAACATGGTGTAGATTAAGTCACTGATTACCTATGGCTGAATTTTTCCCATAAATATACAGACAAGTTAGTTGATTATTAAAAATATTATTGGGGAGGCCATTGTGGTGCATCTGGTGGAACTGCAGGTTGGGATGCCCAAATCCCAATTTGGAGTGCCTGGTTTGAGTCCTGGCTGCTGTGCCTCCATCCCAGCTTCCTGCTAATGCATTCTGGGAGGTAGCAGGTGGTGGCTTAGGTACTCGGGCTCCTACCACCCCCATGTGAGACATGGATGATGTTCTGGGCTTCTGACTTCAGCCTACCCAGCCGTGGCTATTGTAAAGGCATTTGAGGAATAAACCAGTTAGATGGAAAAATCTCTCTCTCTCACTCACTCTTTCTGCTGCCTTTCAAGTAGGTAAAAAATAAACATTTTTAAAAAAATTAATGTTCTGTGAAGCCTAGATAAGTGTCTTGCTAATCAGTCTTTCACTTATAATGTATATAAAAATGTTTTTAAAATGTATTCATTCCTAGCCGGCGCCGTGGCTCAATAGGCTAATCCTCCACCTTGCGGCGCCGGCACACCGGGTTCTAGTCCTGGTTGGGGCGCCGGATTCTGTCCCGGTTGCCCCTCTTCCAGGCCAGCTCTCTGCTATGGCCAGGGAGTGCAGTGGAGGATGGCCCAGGTGCTTGGGCCCTGCACCCCATGGGAGACCAGGAAAAGCACCTGGATCCTGGCTCCTGCCATCGGACCAGCGCGGTGCGCCGGCTGCAGCGGCAGCCATTGGAGGGTGAACCAACGGCAAAAGGAAGACCTTTCTCTCTCTGTCTCTCTCTCACACTGTCCACTCTGCCTGTCAAAAAAAAAAAAAAAAAAAATGTATTCATTCTGTGTCTGGTAAAGTGAATTTTTAATTTGTGGACATACAAAGTATGTGGTACCCAGACATATGCATTTATATTTAGTTAATGTTATCTGAGAGTATAAAAAATTCCTGATAGCAGATAGCTTACTTATCCGCTGTGGGATGGCTGGTGGGTAGTAATATGACTGTAAATCTTGTGGCTTTTGGGGATCACTTTTAGGCTCAGGCCTGAATATGACATACCTCTTCATAAGAGAACACAGCTCATATACTGTTACTGGTTTTTACGTGTTGTAAATTTTCATTTTCTTTCTTGTCTTTGAACTGTAGGTGGCATTGCAGACAGTGTGGCCAAGTGGATATTTAAACAGGACTTGAGCCCTGATGTATTAAAACTGGCTAATAAGGAAAAAGATTTAGAAAATCCAGATGAACCCAAAGAAGGTATTAACAGAGGTTTCCTTGAGGTGTCAGAGGTGGAGATGGACTTGGGAGCCATACCAGGTGATACACACGTAATGAGAAATACGAAATCCAGAGCTGAGAAATGGGGCTGAGTCTTCATGAGGGAAAGTGTAACATCACCGCTCTTCTGACTTTCAGACCTGCTGCACTTAGCCTATGAGCAGTTTCCTTGTAGCCTTGAGCTCGACGTGCTGCACGCACATTGCTGTTGGGAGTATGTTGTTCAGTGGAATAAAGATCCAGAGGTGAGATTCTCAGTACCCTTCCAGTCTCATTCTGTTTCTGTGCTCAGGCTCTGGGTGTGGGGAGGACTATTTAATTAAGTAACTTGATGAACACTGGCTTTTTCTTTTTTGTAGTGTCTCTGTACTGGTGATTGTGGTAGAACTTTTTCATATATTACCTCTTATAATCCTCACAAGAAGCTATGAATTTTAAGTATTATCATTAATCCCCACCCTAGAGAAGAAAAAACTGTGGCTCAGAGACGTTAATTTCCTTATCTAAGGATACACTACCAAATAAATGTCAGGATTTAAGCATAGGTTCCTGCTTGTCAAAATCCAGTATGTTTTATACTACTACTGCGTAGTTGAGACAAGGTTTTTTTATTTCCTTATGAATTCCTACATGAGGAGCCCCTACCTAACAGGCTGTTCTTAGTATTATATTGATCATGATAAAATTAGAGTAATGATCCTGATGTTAGCCTAGTGCGTGATACTCAGATGTGTCTGTATTAGTTTGTAGCTCTTATACCTGTCTCAGAAAAACAATGAAAAGAGCTGTATTGTGTGGCTCTGTCAGGCATCATCTTCTACCACTTGTGGTAGCTACTGTCTCTCCCCAGGCCCTGGGAGAAGTTCCAGTCTTGGACCTGGATGCCAGGTAGCTGGCTGACTAACATCTGTGCTCTGGCCAGTCACTGAATCTGTTTCTGCACTACCTCCTCGCTTTTCTAAAGAAGATCCCAGTGTTCCAGGGTTGATACCAGGATGACATAGATGTGAGACATATGGTGACTGTTCCTCTCTGCAAATCCCTCCCCCACCTAGGCCTCCTTAGTCAGGGCTCTGGTAAATTATTCCTCTCAAGCAAAATTCTTTCTTTTTGTTGTCATATCAGGTTGCATTCTTGCAAAAAAAATTCATGATGAACCGATTCACATTTATATATGAACTTTACTGATACTCTTCCTTCTTAAAAAAAATTACCTATTCACTTACACATTAAAGGAAGACACTAAAAAAATAGGTGACTTAAATGAAAGAATGGTCTTCGGTCAGTTAAACTTTAGCCTAAATGTAAGTGTAGGACAGAAGATCCGCTTAGTGCCCCTCAAGTCACCCTCTTCAGGTGACTACAGCCTGAATTGTAGTTGTATTTAGACTCTCTTCCTTAAATACTTTTTCCATCCCATGAGAAAAATGTTGGAACTAAAATGATGACATGATTTCTAAAATCTGAATGAGTGAATTCTAGTTTAAGTAAGTAAGAAGAAAATTCTACAACATTCATTTGTAAACCGAAGGTGCTTGCGTAATAGAAAACTGATGCCACACTCATTGCCACTACTTATACAAGTAGCCAGTAAGTCATAGCACACAGCTAGTGACCTTTGTGAATGATTCTGAACTTTTGTGTAGATTTTCTGCTAATATGAGCACTATAATACCAGTCATCTTCAAAAGTTATAGCGGCTTATAGAGAAGATGGGTGCATGGTACCTGACATTTTGATTAGTCTCACCATTAACCAGTTAGTGCCTGCGTTGAAATAAGTGGCTGCTTTTCTTATTTTTCTGTTTAGTATTCATCTTCTTGCCCCATCCAATGCTTATTTCAAATCCACACACACATATACTACTTTATTAGTCTCAAAAGAATTGACTATCTCTGGAGAATTTCCAGCATCAATATTGTTGTGAATGGTGATATGTCTTATCTGTGTACAGGCTACAGAATTACTTAACAAAGACCTGGATAATTCCATCAGTATCACATACTGATATTTGGGTTTAATGTGTGAACTTCCTTGATTAGAAAGAGCTGAATTTCAGATAGCCTTTCTAATATTTCATAGATCTTTCTCTGCTTTTTTTTTTCTTCTTGATACTTTCCACTATTCACACTGTATAAATTACTTGTATTTATTGTCTAGCTCCTTTGCTAGAATGTAAGCTCAGTGAAAGCAAGGATTTGGATCTGCTCTGTCATAGTATCCTTGATGCCTCAAACAGAGCTTTGTGCATAGGGGATGCTCGATAAATGTTTGTTGAATGATGAATAAATGAATGAATGGATTGTGTTTACAAAAAAATTCATTGTCTTCATGTCTGTGTGAAGTTGATTTATTAGGAAGAACACTGCTGTGATATACAAACCACAGTGCATTTGAATCCAGGTGTCAGTATATATGATTTGGGAATTTTTAGAAAGTAATCATTATGTAAGAAATGTGAACTTGACAAGCAAAGTTATATGAGATGTTACTTGTTACCTAATATTTCCATGTTTTATTATAACATTCTTAAATAGCTTTATACAGAAATGTATGTAGTTGGTCACCACTGATATTTGAAACACCTACTAAATGATGACTTCTTTTCCCCTCTTTTTTCTCTGTATGTAAGGAAGCACGTTTTCTTGTTAGGTCAATAGAACACTTGAAGCATATTCTTAATGCACCTGTACAGAATGGTAAGTAAACGGATATTAAACACATCACTGACGGATTCAAATGAGGCATCCTGATTAACAGGATGGGAATAAATTTGTTTGCCTGTTACCTATCCTGTGAGTTTTACTGTAGATTGTTATATGCAAAGTGAAGGCTGTTTTAGCTACCTGGAAAACTGCTATTCATAAAGAAGTTAGGGAATAGGTAGAAACTATCTTTTTTTTAAAGATTTATTCATTTATTTGAAAATAATACAGACAGAGGTGGGGAGAGACAGAGAAATCTTCTACCAGCTGGTTCACTCCCCAAATGGCTGCACTGCAAGAGCTGGGCCAATTCCAAGCCAGGAGCCAGGAGCTTCTTCTGGGTCTCCTATGTGGGTGCAGGGGCCTCTGCTTTCCCAGGTGCATTAGCAGGGAGCTGGATCAGTAGTGGAGCAGCCGGGAATCAAACCAGTGCCCATATGGGATGTCAGCACTGCAGGCAGCAGCTTAACTTCCTACACCACAGTGGTGGCCCCGAAACTGCTCTCTTCTGTCCCCAGGCTGTTACCCCTAAATGTAAGCAAAGGAGCTATTGTGGACACATCATTGATGTCTTCTTTAGTTCACAGTTAGAGAAGGACAGCCTTCTCAGGATTATAATTCTAGGTGAAAAAGCAGTTAGTCAAAAACTTTGTTAAGCTAGACCTTGGAAATCATCTGTGTTCTGTTTTTTTTAATCCATGTGAATATTCTCCACTGGCTACTATTCCATAGGGACTGCTGATATTCCCTTGAAAAAAATGTTACAAATTACTATAGAGAAGCAGCCATTTCCATTTAATAGGTAGATGTTTCATTGTAAGAACTGAGATGGGGACCGGCGCCTGCAATGCCAGCATCCCATATGGGCACTGGTTCGAGACTCGGCTGCTCTACTTCCGATCCAGTTCTCTGGCCTGGGAAAGCAGTAGAAGATGGACCAAGTCCTCGGGCCCCTGCACCTGTGTGGGAGAACCGGAGGAAGCTTCTGGCTCCTGGCTTCAGATCAGAGCAGCTCAGACCGTTGTGGCCAACTGGGGAGTGAACCAGCAGATGGAAGACCACTTTCTCTGCCTCTCCTTCTCTCTCTGTGTAACTCTGACTTTCAAATAAAATAAATAAATCTTAAAAAAAAAAGGAATTGAGATGAACACTAAGCTAGTTAGTAACTTAGTAAGTAGTGAGCCTAGGTGTTGGGCTGGATGAGGAGGAATATCACCTTATTATGTCTATGTGTAAATTCTAAAGCAGATATTTCTTCACCTTCTTGTAAATCTTTCCTTATGCATATTGACTATTTACGTGTACTCTGATGTAGCTTAGTTCTGACTTCTGTAAAGATTTCATTAACTTTATTACGTAAGAGAAAAAATGACACCTAAATACATAGCCCTTATATAAACTTACAGAAGATAGTAGTTCTTTATGATAAAAGTGACACTATGTAAGTGTCCTCTTTACTCTTTTACATTCTGTTCACCACTTTACTTTTTCTGTTTAGGTATTGCACTGATGATGTGGAACACATTCTTGGTTAAAAGGTTTTCTGCTGCTGCATACTTGATGGATAAGGTAAGGTAATTTTAAAGTTCGTGTACTGACTTTTTGTTTATTTGGTTCCCTTAATTGATATCAACAAGGTTGTTTACATCGAATCTTGTCAGACTGTTATTTGTTATTCTATTTTATTAACGTTCAGTTAAATGTAATTCTCAGTGCTGGCATTTTAATGACATGAAGAAGAGCTCTGAATCCTTGGAAAGGTTGAATTCTGTAATTAATACACAATTATTCTTAAGTGTTGAAACTTAACTGAAAAGTGATCTCTGTTAAATATAAGAGTGGGAATAAGAGAGGGAAGAGATGTACAATTTGGGACATGCTCAATCGGACTTGCCTCAAATGGTAGAGTTAGAAACTTACCAGGGGATTCCAATTCAATCTCATCAAGGTAGCATGTAGCAATGCCATCTCACTAGTCCAAGTGATCAATTGCTGTTCACAATTGATCATAATGATAGGACTAAGAGTCAAAAGGATCACATAAACAAGACTAGTGTCTGAAAATACTAACCGATAGATTAAAAAAAAGGGAGAGAATGATCCAACATGGGAAGCGGGATACACAGCAGACTCATAGAATGGCAGATGTCCTAAACAGCACTCTGGCCTCAGAATCAGCCCTTAAGGCATGCGGATCCAGCTGAAAAGCCCATGAGAGTATTTCAGGCATGGAAAGCCAAGACACTCTGGCAAAAACAAAACAAAACAAAGACCTAAATGAAAGGTCTCTGCGAGTGAGATCCCTGTGGAAAGAACAGGTCATCAAAGAAGGAGGTACCTTTCTCTGAAGGGAGGAGAGAACTTCCACTTTGACTATGACCTTGTCTAAATATGATCAGAGTCGGCAAACTCAAAAGGCTTCCATAGCCTTGGCAACTCATGACAAGAGCCTAGGGGGATTACTGATGCCATAAACAAGAGTGTCAATTTGTTAAGTCAACAACAGGAGTCACTGTGCACTTACTCCTCATGTAGGATCTCTGTCCTTAGTGTGCTGTACATTGTGATTTAATGCTATAACTAGTACTCAAACAGTATTTTTCACTTTGTGTTTCTGTGTGGGTGCAAACTGTTGAAATCTTTACTTAATATATGCTAATTTGATCTTCTGTATATAAAGAGAATTGAAAATGAGTCTTGATGTGAAAGGAAGGGGAGAGGGAGTAGGAGAGGGGAGGGTTGCCGGTGGGAGGGAAGTTATTGGGGGGGAAGCCATTGTGATCAATAAGTTGTACTTTGGAAATATATTTATTAAGTAAAAGTTAAAATAAAATAAAAACGAAAAGCCAGGATTTGCATTTTATTTTAAATTAGAACATACAAACATTCATGTTTTCACCAAATGTTTTAGTTACAGGGCCAACAGATGAGGGAACTTTAAATTGTTCCTGGGAAGTAGAATTGAAAGATAAATTATAGTGCCAAAAAATTCTGAAATCCAAGTATCCAAAGGGGCCTTCAAAATGTTCATGGAAAATACATATTATGAAAAAACCATGGAATTTCAGAAAATTTTTGTACCAAAATAAACAGCTTTTAATTCCATTCTTCCAAGATCTTTTTGAGGTACCCTTGCTTTTTTTGTTGTTGTTGAGTGGGGTTGATTTCAGTTCTGCTTTGGTTTTCTTGTATAAACCCCATGCACAGTGCATTGCCTGTCACTACTGATCCTATTTCTTTAAAGTTGTGATAACATTCAAGTGTAAAATCTGTAGATTTTTTACAATTATTCTCCTAATCCAGATAGTTTCTCTATATCTAATCCAGAAGACCTAGGGGTTACTCTCCTCCATAAATCTTTCTAAAAAATATATCATAACACATATGTAAATAACTCCCCTTTTGTCTCATGTATATTTCATCATTTATTTAATTGAATCACACACCTACATGACATGTCCAGCCAGCATGTAGATTTTGGAACAAGCGTAACATCTAAGGCTAGAACTCAGCTGACAGGACAGAAGTTGCTAGCACACTGGAGAAGAGCCACCTAGCCTCAAGCAGTGTGGCCCAGCATGCTTGTCTGTGTGTTTTATAGGCCAGTGCAAACCTAACTTATTCTGGCCTAGATTAGGTAAGTGTTGAGAGAATCACCACTATAATAGCAACATATTCTTTTAAATGTATGGTGATAGTGTATGGTGATAGTCATTCTTACACCAGAAATAGCACTACTGCTGCTCCCTTCAAAGTGCTTTCTCGATCATGCTGATAGTTAAATCTACTCATTCTTTCCTCTGTGCTTATCTTCCTGCCTGCTTTTAACTACTCCTGAGAACTTACTTCTTTGGGCCTCTTTGATGTTGGTCTCCTATGCTTTTTCTCTGATCATCCCTTTGTTGAGATGATAATAATAAGCAGTTTATATGTTTGTTACTATTTATAATTTCACAACACTGTCATATCTGATCCTTAAAACTTTGATTTGGGTGAAAACAGTCTTGAACCAAGAGGCAGAAGATTTGTGACGATTTTTTGAATAAATATTTATTATAATATGTTCACTGTTAATGTGCCTAGGACTCTGCTAGGTGCTGTAGTAGCACAGATTAAAGTCACAGTGCTGGGGAGCCAGCATTGTGGTATGGCAAGTTCAGCAGCTGCCTGCCATGCCAGTATCCCTTATGAGTTCTGGTTCAAGTCCCGGCTGCTCCACTTCTGATCCAGCTACTTGCTGATGTGCCTGGGAAAGCAGCAGAAGGTGGCCCAAGTGCTTGGGTGCATGCCACCCATGCGGGGGATTCAGATGAGGTTTTTTTGCGCCTGGCTTTGTCCTGGCCCAGCCCTGGTTGTAGCAGCCATCTGGGTAGTAAAACAACAGATGGAAGATCTCTCTCTCTCTGTAACTCTGCCATTCAAATAAGTAAATCTTTAAAAATAAATAAATAAATAAAGTCACAGTTCTGGACTTCAAAGAACTCCTAGTCTAAGACAGGTAAGTAGACAAGATGTTTGGGTAGCAAAGAAAAAGTAAATACTTAAATTTTAATATATAAGTGTATTTGAATCAGTAAAAATGGGCAAGAAGAAAATGTGTTCCAGCAGAAAGCCCTGGAAATAGGAGGTAGCTTGTTGTATTGAGAAAACTACAAGTAGTTTAGGCTGGTGGGATGAGGGGCTGAGGGAAGAAGAAAAGCTGAGCGTGGAGGACGTCCTGTGCCAGCTTAGATTATGAGTTTTCTCGACTGCTTAATATAGGATCTGGCACATACGGTAAGGGCTCAGCAAATGGCAGCTGTTATTTTATACTGAAGACATGGGGCAATTTTAATCACAGGAATTATATGCTCAGATTTGGTGTCTGTAGGCCATTTGAATAATCTTGGCTAGGGGTACTGAGGTGAAGTCTTTTTGTCTTGTGTCTCCTGCGAGTTTCTTGTCTCAGAGTGTTTCTGAGAGAGAACTTTTACCTCCAACTTATCACTCCATAGACATGTCCAGTAAAAGCTTCCTAAGTACTCAGTGAATCAAAGCGCTCTTTCTGAGCTAGGATTATAACTCTAACCTTCTTTAAAGTGTTTTTCCCTCTTACTAACCTTGTAAGATCGGTATGCATCTTTATCAAGAAGCAAAATTCTTAGGTGATCTTTATTATTAGCACACTCTGGCTCTGGGCTTTATGGCAACATAGCTCATGAGAGCCAAATTATATGTGAGCTTAGTGTGATACTTTTCAAGTTCTACCACAAAATTAATTGCATCTACTACTGATAAAACTAACAGTTAATTAATGAAAGCTTACCACATTTGAAGTTTTACAATTTGTGTACTTTTTACTTTCTGTACCATTGTAATGTCTTGTTACTTAAATTATTAAATATTATAGCATTTTGTGTCCTTTTGTCTTAGGTTGGAAAATCCCCAAAAGATAGGCTATGCCGAAGGGTAAGTGAAACCCTTACCTAGTGGAATAGCTATGAATCCTACACTTTCTGTAGTAACTTATTAACTGTGCGGGAGGACTTTGCCTGTTACCATTTTGATGACATATTAGGAGATAAGAAAAATGGAAAGAGAATACTTAAGGAAACTGGTGGTGAACTATGGCCAATTTTAATTTACCTTTCCAGATTATCAGAGAGCATATTTAACCTAAGTTTTCATAAGATGTGTTCAACTTTGGACTGTGGACAGGATCGCATGCTGCCATTACTGCATATTTTTGCTCTAGTTCAGATTATAAGTTTATAATAGAAGATTCCAGCATCAAATTGAAGCATATCCATATGTGTCATGAATCTTCCACCTACATGTATTAACTGTCACACAGATATGATATTAACCAAATAATATTATAGCCCACAGACACTGAGCTTATATTTGAGGCCACTGATTAATCGTGGGAGCTTTTACTCAGAACTTTTACATGTTCTTAAGAAATGTTGGTACATGTGAATCCAGCTAATTTAGGCCCATAGCCCCCACAAAAATGACCACTGTTGTAGAATTATTGTGTATTCTTGAGAGTGGTGATGTAATTACAGTTGTGCATGAGTGCACAGGCAGGCACACATATACTTGCTTTATGTACCTTGGGGATGTTTGGGATGTATTGGTTGTTGGTTTAAAAATATCCTGGCCCCTTGGTTAGAGCTTTTAAGACACTACCTGTGGCCAGTGGATGAGTCTGGAATTCTGTTCTCCAGCTAGGGAAATCTAGTTTTGTTCAGAGAATTCAGCTCAGTCCCTAAAAGATGTGCTGAAACCAGACCAGGGTGTTCTCTTAGAACTTTTCAGGTTGGATGCTTAGGTGTGGATCTGACTGTCCACCATGATCCTTTGGCTCTCATAAATGCCTTTGCAAGCTGTGCGGTGCATGTGGGAGTGCTGCCATCTGTTGGGACTGAGGAGAATGTAATTTTACAATACATAAAGCACACTAATTTTTTAATTGACAGTAGTACTACTTTTTTAAAGCCTGAGTTTAAATTTGGTTAACATTAAAGCACCTAAAGGAAGTAACTTATGCCAAAGCTTTAATTTTAAAATTCCTGCCTATTCAGTGTAGAGGTCAATTGCCTTCTGTTGTTTCTCTGGTGTTAACTGTAGCAGTTTCCCTGCAGAGGCTTAATATGTTCCTCTTTAACAGGATGTGGGGATGAGCGACACAGCAGTGACATCTTTCCTTGGCTCCTGTCTGGATCTTCTTCAGACGTTAATGGAGGTAAAAAAAAAAGCACTGAAAAAAAAGTCTATTTCCATTCTAAACTGCTCCTGAAATATTACTCTGAACATCATCAGATTTAAGAAAGGACTTTTGTAACAGAATTATTTTTTATTTATTCCCAATTTTTATTTCAGTCTAAATAAAAGTGAAGTTTCTTACTAAAATTAGACTTTGCATTTTTTCCATTTGTGTGTATCTGTGTATGGAATAGGCTTTGCATGGTGCTACTGAGAACCTCTTCATTAGGATAGTTGTAAGTTCTTCTCCAATTCTGAACGCATTCCTCCATTCTCAACACCTTTAGGCAGATGTTAGCAGGGATGAAATGCAGGCGCCTGTCCTGGACACAGAGGATGCCTGGCTTTCTGTGGAAGGCCCCATCTCGATAGTGGAGCTGGCCCTTGAGCAGAAGCACATCCACTACCCGCTGGTGGAGCACCACTCCATCCTGTGCTCCATCCTGTACGCAGTCATGAGATTCGCTCTGAAGACTGTGAAGCCACTTTCACTTTTTGACAGTAAGGTAAGACTTCATCAGATTTCAGAGCCACTTTAGTTTCAAGTTTAGCAGGTACATGGATCTTTCCCCCCGCAAAAAAAATTGACTGATTTGAGAGCGAGCTCCCATCTGCCAGCTCACTCCCTGAATGCTCATAATGGCCGTGGGCCAGAGGCCAAGGTGCAAGCTGATAACTCAATCCAGGTCTTCCACATGGTGGCAGGAACCCAACAATTTGATCCATCACCACTTGCCTCCCAGGGTGTGTTTATAAGCAGGAAGTTGGAGTGAGGACCCAGAGCTGGACATCAAAAGCAGGCAACTTAGATATGGCGCCTAGGCATCTTAACCACTAGGTCAAATGCCCTCATTCCCTTGGCTGGTACAACAGTCCCTCCAGCACTGTGCTGCAAGAGCATAGGCATAATCAAACAATTCCATGCTCGAGACTTCGAGGCTCCTTTGTAGGATCAGGTTCCAGGACCACACATTTTGGTCACTGTGAATGGTAAACTGTCTTCTTCCCCACGCAAGGACTAAATAAGAGACACAGAGGATGCAGATAATTGGAGATAAAATGTCAGCTTTTGTTACTGAGCTTTCTACTGGTAGAAATTAGGTTGCAGAACACAGCTTAGGCTTGTAGGAAAGGGAGTACATTAGTTTACCCTCAGATGCAAGATCTGCACACTCAAGGACAGCATAGCCAGACGCCTGCAAGCCCCCTTAAGGACTTGTGTTCTTCCTGCATGAACACTGCCTCCCTCAGAGGGTGAGCAAGGGACTGCTGAGAATGTTCAGCTTCTTCTCCCAAATCTGGGGTGGGAAACGTCCACCCACGGGCTATATAAGGCCCACGAAGTCATTGGGTCTGGTCCTGCCGAGGCAAACGCCACTGGGACTCAAAAATCAATAAATCTATAACATGTTTATTTTAAAAGATTTATTTTATTTAAAAGGCAGAGGTAGAGAGAGAGTTGGAGGGAGGGAGGGAGGGAGGGAGGGAGGGAGGAAGGAAGGAAGGAAGGAAGGAAGGAAGGAAGGAAGGAAGGAAGGAAGAGGAGAGCGAGTGCCAATCTTCTATCTGCTGATTCACTCCCCAAATGGCTGCAACGGCTGGAGCTGTGGCAAACCGAAGCCAGGAGCTTCTTCTGGGTCTCCAGTGTGGGTGTAGGGGTCCAAACATTTGGGCCCTCTTCCACTGCTTTCCTAGGCCATTAGCAGAGAGCTGGATCAGAAGTGGAGCAGTTGGGTCTCCACTTGGTGCCCATATGGGATGCCGGCATTGCAGGTGGCAGCTTAACCTGCCACACCAAAGCACCAACCCCTAACAGGCTGATTTTTTAAGTTGATCATTTTGTATGGCTCACGAATGATACTATAAATTACCAAATGACCCTTGACAGTAAAAAGGTTTCCCACATCTGCCCTAAATCCACTGGTCTTTTTGGGGGAGCAGCGTGAATTGCAGCAGGAGCCTTGGAATATTCCCCTAATAGAACTCCTGCTATATGGAAACAGAGCAAGGAGGAAGAAGGCTCCCATAGCCATTGCTAAACTTTTCCTAACTTGTCAGCCATTCCTCTCTTGCACCCTGTGCTGTAGCTACTATCTTCCATTTCTCAGAAATCATCTTTATTGCTTTTTGTCCTTAATTCCAATGTTCAATTTTCATAGGTGATAATTTTGTGTGACCAGCTCCTGTTTATTTGTCAGGTTATTAAGTGTCATCTTCCCTTCAAAGGCTTTGTCTACAATCTTTGAACTTAGCATCTCTTTACTATTCGTGTGCCATGCCTGATAGAAAACAAGAGCTCATTAAATTTTTTAATTCATTTATGATTAAGGAGATTTGTTAGAGTTGCAGGGCAGCAGTATGCCCAGAAGATTGGAGGGCACACTGTTTACAATGTGGGAAACACTAGATATCAGGAGCTGATGAGGATATGGATTGAGGCGAGGTTGTAAGAATCATGAAGGGATGTAGAGGATTCAGTAACTTAATGCCAGACTAGATATTCTGCTGAAGGAGACAGAAGAGGTTACAGTTAAATCCAGTTTCAAGCTTGAAAAATCAGGCATGCTGTTTGCAAAGAAGCCTATTTAGAATGATTTTGGACATAATAAGTTTGAAGTATATGTTAGCAGAAATAATACTTTTTAAGAAATGTTTTTAAAGTACTAGAAGTATGGTAATTATAGCCTTAATAACTATATATACTTAAAAATACCGGTTTTGAATGAGTAACTTTGAGACTGTAAAAGTAAAATGTACTTAAAAGTTTATATGTGTAACCATTTATTGTATTTTGAGATTATACATATTTTGTATAAGTGCCTAGCTTGATACTGCCCCCACAGAGGGACCTTGCAGGGGCAGGTGTTTGGCACAGTGGTTAGGGTGACGTCTAGCATACCCACAGCCCATATCAGAGTGCCCAGTTCAAGTCTTGGCTCCTCTGCTTCTGACTAATGTGCACCATGGAAGGCAGCAGGCGATGGCTCCAGTACTTGCATCCCTGCCACCCAGACTTAATTCCTGGCTCTAGCATAACCCAACCCTGGCTGTTGCGGGCATCTGAAGAGTGAACTAGCAGAAAGAAGAGTATCTCTTCTCTTTTTACCTTTCAGATAAAATCAGAGTTAACTTTTTAAAAGTGGGAGTGATTTTATAAAACTAGAATACATCATCCAAAATGACGAGCATGGTGATGTTAGTTCCAACCTATATAACCCAAGGCAGCTGTGTGACTGTCATCTACAGAGGGACAATGAATCTGAATCCCACTGCTATTTTTTGCTTACTAGAAGTAGTTTCTCTTAGCCCATTTTCACATTCAGAAAGTGAAGATGATTATAGTGCCTACCTCATGGTCATTGTGATACTCAATATGCAGTACTAGCAGTATTTGAAATAACAAATAATGTGGTACTATTATAGGCCCTAAGACCAGCAGGTGGGAACTACGTAACAGATTGTGAGTGTGAGTGAGTGAATTCAAACAATGATATCCAAAATGTAGGTTGCCCTGTGAAGTCTGAGTGGCTTTAACCTACTTGGCAGTCCTACTGCATGACCTGGAGTCGTAGGTGACTAGGTATGGAAGGATATCGGAAGGTATCTGGGACAACTCAGTTGCAGAAGATGAAACAACAAAACAGGAGATGGTGAGGACACTGGCCACGGTACCCTGGCTAGAAGTGGTGGACTAGGAAAGACTTTTGTTCTGCATTGCATTTACTGCCAAGGAACTTATGAAATCTTATTTGCAGATATTCTGACTCTTCAAATACATCTGTTATCTTAAGTCATTTTTAAGCAGTCTGACAAGTTGCTTTTAAAAAGACTGAGTTTACATTATATATTAGTTATCTATTATTGTGTAACAAATTATTACCAAACTTAGCAGCTGAAAACAACAAGCACTTTTATTATCTTAGTTTTCATGGTTCAGTAATCTGGGTTCCTCTTCTCTAAGTGCCTCTGGGTTAAAGTCTCTCATAGGAGTACAGGCAGGGTACTAGCCAGGGGCATGGTCTTGTAGAGAGGCTCTGCTGGCTGTTGGAATACATAGGTGATCTATTTCCAAGCATCACTGTTGGCAAGATTCATTCTTGCCCTATGAGACCCTCCATAGGGCAGCTCCCGCCTTTCAGAGCCAAGTGAGAATGTGACCACTCAAGGCAAAAGGGACCACGGGGTCCCTTTGGAATCTGATCTTGGAAGTAACATGTTTTTAACTTCTAATTCTCTTTGCTAGCAGTGAGTCCCTAGCCCACATTCAAGGGAAGGGAACATAAAGTCATGAATACTCAGGAGGAAGGGATCACTGGGGAGACTACCTTAAAGGCTGCCTACCACATTCTGGGTAATTGCTGTAAGAATTAAATGACTAGAAAACAAAAGGCAACCATGAGTTATTCCTGATTAATTGACTTTGTTTTTTCCTAATAATCCACACTCACCAGTTTTCATGATCTTTCTTTTTAGGGAAAAAATGCATTTTTTAAAGACCTAACTTCAATTCAGTTATTACCTAGTGGGGAAATGGACCCAAATTTTATATCTGTACGGCAACAGGTAAATTACAGTTACTGGATTTCATTTTTTATTTCTTGGGAAAAAACCAGTAAGCAGAAATCTAGCTGGGCTTTAAAAGGATGACCACTTTCAAGGTATTCCTGAGAGCTGGCTTATCATTAAATTATGTTTTCCTTGTTTGATAATGAAAAAAAATTTGGAAAAACCACTATAATTGGAAAGCCAACAATTACTTTGATTTAGGTTTTTGGTTTGTTTTTAAGAAAACACGCTAATAAAACATTGCTGTCTTTTTTTGCATTTTCCAGTTATTATTGAAAGTTGTTAGTGCAGCTGTCCAGACCCAACATTCAATTGCAAAGGACAGAGATCACTCAGAAGAGGCAATAAGCACTTCTTTTGAGAAGGACCAAGATTGGCCAGTTCTGGCTGTGGATTTAGCTCATCACCTTCAAGTTAATGAAGATATTGTTAGAAGGCATTATGTGGTAGAACTCTACAACTACGGAGTTGACCACTTAGGAGAAGAGGTAATGACGACTCCAGGAATATTAACTGGGCTCAAGGTATAAAAACTGATAGTTGTAGTAAAGAAACCAGTATAAAGTACAACAAAACTTTTTGCTTTTCCTTTTATTAGAACTTCTAGGCACAAAAATACAGAATATTAAAATATAAAATGATAATCAAATTCCTAGTGTGCCAGGTCTGCTGCACAGGGATATAACATTAAACAGACAAGGTTCCTTTCCCATGGAACTAATAATCTATTTGTAGGAGCAAAATGCATGCTAAATTCTGTGTGGTAACTGCTATGAAAAAAAGAAACAGGACCATGTGAATAAAAAGAAGTTGCTACAATAGGGGGTGTTTAGAGAATATGACATTTAAACTGAACCCCCAGGATAAACAGCAGCTCACCACTCAGAAAACTTCAAGAACAGTACTAGAGAGAGAATCAACAAGGATAGAGGCCTTGAGATGGGGACCAGGTTGGTTACTAGATCCAGGAGAAGGGTCCGTATGGATGACCAAACATGAGAGCCTTTCAGAATTTGTGTGGAAAACAGAATTAGAAGATGCATATTTGATGCAAAGATTTTTGAGATTATGTACTTTTTTCATAATACACATTCTTCCCTGAGATTTTTGAAGGCCTCTTATAGTAAGAAAGGAGTAAAGAAGCATGAGGTTGGCAGGGACCAGACAGATCTCCTAGTATATGGTTATTCTAAGTGTATTTAAGCAATCATGAAAAAAAATCTAATGGAACGTTTTTTAACTGAAAGATTAAAAACACTGAATTGAAGATTTGGGCAATAAGAAAAAATAGCTGATGAGAATTTTGGGTTTAAATGCTGTTTGATTTGACTTTTACTTTGATTATATACATGGCCACAGATCAAAAAAAGAACTAGACTTCTTCATTGGCAACCCTTTTCCTATGGTGAGTATAAAGCTGTTGGCCCTCACTATATTTCTCTGTATTCCTATTCTCAGGCCATACTACAAGTCCATGACAAAGAGGTCCTTGCCTCTCAGCTGCTGGTGTTGACTGGGCAAAGACTGGCTTATGCACTCCTCCATACCCAGACCAAAGAGGGAATGGAACTGCTTGCCAGACTTCCACCCACACTCTGTACTTGGCTTAAAACAATGGTAAGTAAAATTAAATGAGCTCAGCCAGAAGGTCACTGGATGTTTTCTTAAATGCATATTTAATAATGGTTATAAAGAATCTTAATTCACCTAGTTACAAAGAAAAACATTGTTGTTGGGAAATAATTAACTGTGGTAACTCTAAAGTCAGCAACAATCATTGTTTAGTTGGATGGAACCCATGAGTTACTTTTGTATCCCCTTTTGCAGGACTCCCAGGATCTTCAAAACACTGAAGTGCCAATCACAACAACAGCTAAACTAGTAAATAAAGTAATAGAGCTTTTACCAGAAAAACATGGGCAGTATAGTCTAGCCTTACACCTCATTGAAGCTGTGGAAGCCATAGCTATTCCTTCTTTATGACATTTAGCTATTAAAAACAGTAACACAGTTGTGTGACTATAATATGAATTAGTGCATGGTTATTTTACATAGTGAGAGCTGGAATTTTAAGGTATGTGTTTTTCTTTTGTAAACTAAATGAAAATACATTTAACTTTTAAAAAGTGCCATCCTGGCTAAATTCCACCCCTTTGGTTAATATTGAAGATAAACTATAAAGATGTATCAACTATGCTATAGTTACTGATACAGAGGTTTTACTCTTTATTTTTAATTCAAACACTTAAGTAGTTTTATTGTTAAATTTTGGTATTTAAAATTGGTTATAATTTACAGATTATGTTCCTATTATGAAAGTCTATATTTCATATATAAAATATTGTAATTAAATTTAAATGTGTTTATGTACAGACTGTATTCGTAAAGTTAGAGAGACATCCCCCTCTCCTTTAATAAATGTTGAGAACATGCGTCTGTTACCGTGCTTAATCCTATACTGGGCTGCCACATGGGAGTTCTGGATGCTGACAGGTTCCTATCCCAAGGTTGTCTGCTCATCAGAAGATGACAACCTTGCTTGAGGAGGAAAAATGGATTGAAGATCATCGTATTCAACAGAAGGGACACTAAATAGGACCCCTTAATCTGTTGAACTTGCCAAAATTGAGAATCTGAGATGTGAACAACACAGCAAAATTATAAGTTAAAATGTACTTTTTTGCCAAGTTGCAAAGTTTTAGACCTATCAGGTAACTGTAAAAATGTATTACCTTGTAAAACTTACGTTAAAAGAGAGTCTAAAAAACTTTTTTCCCTACAGGTGTTTAGAAATGTCTGCTTCTGGAATTTGGAGATGTTATCTGACCTTGAGAACAGTACAGAAAAAATGCTTAGTGTTATTACAGCATTAGCAAACCTACCTCACAGATGAGAGGATAAAATACAACAAATTTTGTACCCTATAGTGCCTACAACAGTCCAAGTGCTAAACACTTACTGATTAAAACAAAACTAACCAAAATTCTGTAAAAAGTACTTTGAGCTCCACAAAAACCTAGTGTTTATTATAGTATACCCTTGGAATGTAGCCATACAGTGCAATTATTGTCATTTGTCAGGGATCACAATTGTTATTCATAGTAACTCATTGTGATACAGAAGCTTGTTTCTTCACTTTCTCCTGAGAAGCTAACTCTGAGCAATTGTGCAGAGTTGAGGAATATGTCTTTCAGGGATTATAAAGAGATGTAGAAATTTGAGAAAGACAATGTGAATTCTTTAACTAAAAAGATCACATTTAAAGTAATATCTTTACTGGCAAAAGCTCAATAATTGCTATTTGAGTGACTATCAAAATTTTAAGTCTTAAAAGGTAGATTTTTAAGATGACTTGAATATTTAGGGTGGGGAGCCTGCGAGGCTCATCAAGGCACATATTGTGTATAGTAACAGCATTGGAAAGGGCCTTAAGCTAATCCAACCTCCCAGCTTCTGCTTGGATCTCCAGTACCCCAGACACATTCTAGAATTCTTGCAGGCATATTTAGCTTTATAGTCTAGTTATCTGTGTCCTAAGGAGATTAGTTCTTTCTGTGATTATTCTAAATACTCTGAAATTAGTGTGAATTTTTAGGAAATTGGTCAAGAAACTTGGGAGTTACAGATACCCTTAAAGATTAAATCCTCAATTCCATTAGCACTTTTTTGGAAGGGTTTCTTATTAAGCATTTTAGATAATAAAACTGGTTAAACTTACTCCGTTGGGACATAAAGTCTCCAAAGTTAGTGTTAAATCTTAGGATAACAAACCTTATAGAATGTTTAAATTTAATTCTGTGTTACATGGTTAGGAAAAGCAGATATTTTAATACTTCTTAAAGGGCTTTTAAAATAAATTGGATAGGAAGAAAGAAAAATTAATACGTATATGTGCTTTCTGTAACAATGAAGAGCTACCAATCAAGGAACTAGATGTTACATGGAATAAATGTGTGGCACTTATTGTAGTTACTGATGGGAAGACAAATACCAGTAATGTTTTCCGAGTATTTATACTCCCACCCCCTGCACCTTCTCCATTAAGTCTAATGCACTTTTTTTACTTTGTTAAATACACTTACTTAATGTTGAAGAAAAATGTTCAAATAATCATAACTTCAACATTACAGGTTGTGTTTAGACAGAGCTAAAGGGGCCAGATCATTGAGACAAAGAGCATATGGCACTAAGCTTCTAAACATTTCATACTTCTACAAAAAAAGTCTCACCTTTGTTACAAAAATTCATCTAAGATCAAAGTAAACATTCTTATATTTAAAGTTGTAATTTAAAGTCACAGAAAACCAAGACTTAATAAAACTAAGCTTAGGTTGAATGTAACATTAACTTAGAAGTGGCTGTAAACCATTTCATTTATAAGAGACAAGTCTTTTTACAGTATACTGTAGCTACAATGGAAGTCCTCTCTACTCCTGACAGGAATGAATTTGCTGGGCTTCTAAAATTTAATTTCTGCTGAGTAGAATTAGTTATCCTTAGAAAGATTTTAATCCAATACTGAACTGTTTATAAAATGCTCTATTATCTATTGTAATGTACTGTAAGTAGTGAAATCTTGTATATACTGCTATTTTCTGGATCTGTTTATCATTGTGAACTTATGTATATTAGTGAAATAAATTTTAAGCTTTCATGTTTAACATTCATAAATGTAAATATTGAGAGACCTCTTAAATAACAAATTTGGTGATGTTTTCTTTCTAATATAACCCCCACAACTAGCTGTTGGGAAAAGGCTGTTTTCCCCAGTGGGAAGAATGAGATGACTTTCTTCAGCTTTTAGAGGAAACACACTTCTGCCACTCTCTTCAAAACCATGCTTTTGTGCCACTCAGTATTCACAACTTTTAGCCAACACCAGTCAAGAGTTTACCAGAATGCCTTTATTTTCAGACATCATACCTTACTGAGTCAAAAAGATTTATAAAGTATAAAACATCTTCTGCTTAGCCATATTTGAAGGCAAGCCTATTGTCGATATTCTGAATAAGCTCATTATGGATATATATATACACACACACATATATATCTTCCTCCACACAGGTGTATTTCTGCTTATGTATATACATTATTCTTCAGTTACAGAAACTAAAGTTAGTATACTGTACTTTTATACTTCTGATGCAATTCTTATCCTTAAATTACTCTTGGATTCATTATCTGAATGTTGGGTATCTTTTTAATATTGTAAACAGTCCATCTAAGTTCCGAATCAGTACCATCAGAAGAAAGCTATTAATACCCGAGTACTATTTTCCATTAACCACTTCTGCACATCGGGGACAAAGTGTATCTGAAGACTCAGATGTATACTTCCAACAACGAGGGCATTTTTCTTTTGTAGTGGGCATGACAATTACTTTATACGAAGACTCTTCATGAATATCACCACCTATGAAAAGAAAGATACATGAAGCTAATTAGCAATAAATTTAGTGTTCCCACTGAAAATGTTCTGACAAAAGGAAATAAAAATGTCTGCACTATTAATACTCTTAGATATAAGACTGATTAAAAAAAAAAAAACTAACATTTCGGGGCCAGCGCTGTGGTGCAGTCGGTTAACGCCCTGGCCTGAAGCATCAGCATCCCATATGGGTGCCAGTTCTACTCCCGGCTGCTCCACTTCCCATCCAGCTCTCCACTATGGCCTGGGAAGGCAGTGGAAGATGGCCCAAGTCCTTGGGCCCCTGCACCCACGTGGGAGACCCAGAATAAGCTCCTGGCTTCGGATCAGCACAGCTGCGGCCATCTGGGGAGTGAACCAGCGGATGGAAGACTTCTGTCACTATCACTCTAACTTGTAACTTCAAATAAATTAAAAAAAAAAAATAACATTTTAGAAAGAATTAAACCAGAATTTTTACCATCTGGTCAATGCTGCTAATCTAGAACTTTAAACTGATGCCTATAAATCAGCTGGCACCTCAAAGGTATTATGAAAAACACAAGCAGCGTAAGCTTTCTCAGAATACTTGCTTGTTACTTTGTGTTAGTGCTGTTTCATTTCCATTTCCATCTCAGAGGATGGATCTGGTTGACAGTCCACTAGAAGAAAATTATCTACAAAACAGGCAGCAGAGAATAACCAAAACAATAGCCACATTTCAGGATGAGTGACCAAGGAAGAACCCCAGAACTTGGTAAGAGAATAACAGAAACCCTGTAGGACATGGAAATCTGGAAGGCAATAGAACAAAACTGACCAGCAACTGACACAGCCTGGGAGAATCCTCACCGCAGAAGGATAAACGGGACAGTCTTCAGCAGAACCTGATGACACAAATGCCTCGTGCAGGTGATCCTAGCTACAGGAGAGATCCACACTCATCAATGACCATGAGCCCAGTAAAGAGAGCTGCATAGATAGCTCATGGTTGTTTTGAGTCAGAGGAGGAATTCACATTACATCCCTATAAATTCACAGCACTGGCTGTGGTAGGCAGCATCCCGAGAGAAAGCACTGTTGGAATTCATGCTACCTTAGGGGACACAAGTCTTCATACACCCCCATCACTGGCATGCGCACTACCACATTAGCAAAGACAAACTGTACCTCAATCCACCTAAACCCAGTGGACCAACAGTGACCAACCTCAGCATTCTATACAGTGCTCTGCACTGCACGGGACAGGGGGGTGCAGGATGACATGGAGATGCTGCCCCTGGAACCCTTGAAGTAGAGGCACTTGCCTTCTCAGACTTAAGATGCATTACAACAAATTCCTACCCCTTAGCACCTGGATATCACCCACAGCCATGGAACTCCAAGTCAGGGGTCCCATGACCCCAGTCTGGTCTACCACTGCTTAGGACTCTGTACATGCCTGGTCCTCTCCCAGTGCCACTGCCACTCCTGGGGTTCCAACCTCTCTCATAGGTGACAGCAGGGGGTCCACATACCAGGCCTGCTTCCAGGCTTGCTCCCAAGACTCTGGCCCTTCCCCTGGGCAGTGCCTAGGGGCTGCTTTCCAGGAATCAGAAACCCTGCTGGGCCCCAGGAGTGTTCTAATCCCTGCTGCTACAACCATCAACTATAGCATCCAACTAGAACTAAAGCCAAAGTACCCTATGAAACCAACACCTGAAGACATACCTTCAGGAGGATGCCTTCAGTCTACGAAAGCCACCCTTTAAAAGCAACAGAAACCATCAATACACCAGTGTGTAAATGTTAACATAGGGACAGGAAAAATATGAAAAAAAGCAATATGACATCCCAAAAGGAACACAATAATCCTTTAGTAACAGACTCCAAATAAATTGATGAAATGCCTCCAAAAAATTTTGAAAGAATGTTTTATAAGGATACTCAAAAAAGAGATACAAACAGACGGCTAAGCAAAATTAGGAAATCAATACATGTTAAAAATGAGAAATTGAACAGAGATCTTGAAAAAGCCATACAAAT